TGAGGTCCCTTCCAACTCTTAATATTCTGTGGTTCTGTGATGCCATATTTGGTTAAGGTTTACAACTAGAACCACTAACTTAAACATGCAAACAAAACTTTTGAATTTTTCTGGCTGTTCAAAATAGTTTGATCATATAGAAAAGAGTTCTAATAATCCAGTTGGAAAAAGTCTGTCAAGTTCTGGACACATTTGGCTTTGGATGTGTCATTCCTAAATAAATAATAGCATCTAAATCTGAATGTCCCTCTTTTCAATTTGTTTATTTTATTAGTTGCTAGGTTAAAACCCAACCAGGAATAGTTATTACCAATTATTGCTGTACAATGATTTGCAAGGGCTGCTGCCACAGAGGGAAAAGTTATTTGCCCAGTCTTCCACAATAACGTAGCTAGAAGGTTGAAAAAGTCTACGCATGTTTCATGAAGTACAGATGTTAACTCGGTATCTGCAAAGACAATATAGAAAAAAGTCAAACCATTTACACATGTGCATAAACTTGGACAGCTAAGCCTGACAACAACTGTCAGTTTAAATGAAGGTGGTAGTAAAATGAAGACATGCCTCTTTCTATACTGGAAATAAAGAATTTCATTACCTAACCCGTCTTTGGGGCGAATGGCGAGGATTGCAAAGGTATTTGCCAAGAGAGGTTTCAACAATTCATCCTGGATTACAAGCTGAGAGTCCACCAATAAACATGATTTCAGAAGCCTGGACAGAGATGACCAGTATTGCAGTAGTAATAATACCTGTTAAATATTTTTTTACAAGATATTAAACAAAGCCATATATTTGCAACTTCCACTTAAAAAAAAATACTCCCATTAACTCAACTTATTCACAACATTTTGAATTAATATAAACCACTTAAAAGAAGCAATAGAATATAAATTAAAAATTGTTCTAGTAATTTTTACTGTAGAAAATTAAGTAGAATTCCTAGTCAGGAAACATATGTGTGAATTCGATTTTCTAGTGTCAAAGAATAAAGTTCCTTGTGAGAAAGTCATGACTCTTGTTACACATACAGTATCATATTCTCTGGAAATACAAAGGAATACATAAAAATGGTCATTAAAAATATGTATTTCCTAAAAACAGAAGCTCAATTTGAAGCTTTAGGAAAAAAATATTCCTGACATGTTTATTATTTATTCTCAAATGATTTCTGCAGCAACACACTCTTAATAACCTGGGTATCTTTCTTTAAAGTAAATCTGAATCCAGAGCAGTAGAAGCTTTAAAATGGTGCTCTGCCATGAACGTAGTATGTTCTGTATGTTATATATACAGAGTTAAATTTGATACAAAAGTACTTTCACTGGCAGTAACCCTATATACTTTGCATACATCAAAACTAGTTGAGAACTATGTAAGTGCAGGATTTGAGACAAGCAAAGCAGCCAGGTTTGTTGTGGAAAATAGATGTGAAATGCATCAGTAACTGATCTGGCTCATACTTCAATAGTGTACAAAGAAATTTTATTACACGATTTTTGTAACTGCTAAACAACTTGCATTTTCAAAACACAATTGGTTTTCAGCTTGATGGTTCTAGGTATAGTTCTAACACAGAAATTAACTGTTCTGTGTTGAGCATAACAAGGTTTATTTTCTCTTAATCCTTGTCAAAACAACAGAGATTCATGTAGCCTATAGCAGTGTGACTGGACTATGTTAAAGAACATAGAATATGCAAACATAATTAATTTAACCATTAAAAAAAATTCAAAAGTAACAAATCCTTCACTGACCTGAGCTTTTACATGTTCTGCATGACATGCATGATGACCCAATGGAGCTTTAAGTTCGAAGATGCATCTCTCAACCAGATTAGCACTTACAAGCCTAAAATATAGTTAGTAAGAAATATACTTAAATAATTCAACACTCTACTAACATTCCATAGAAAAGAACATTTCAAATAAACAGTAAAAATAAAATTATGAAGAACTTTCTTAAAATAGTGGGGTTTAGCAGTAAGTCTAGCACAATGGCAACTACAACAGCATTAAGTTTTTTCTAAATAGTTAGACTAATGTAAATACCAATGGCTGTTACTGCATTGGTAAAAACTGTTTATATTTCATTACTTATTTTCTTTCCGGTACAGAATAAACAGCTGTGTAATAATATAAACTGTATTCAAACAAGGGTTGGTTGTTTGAGTTTTTTTTACATCAATAGCACTATGAGAGCAACTAAAAAAGCTCTTGAAAGCCTTAAAAAACACCTGAACTAATTTTCAAGCTTCACTTCAGGACTTCCAAACGCTTTCTACAGATGAAAGAATTTGTTACGATGCAAGTGGGAACATGGAGTACAATCTGAAGGCTATTTGAAGTGGTTCCTTCTTTAAAAAAGAAACAAAATACTAGGGTCTATCATCCAATACTTTCCCAAATCTGGCAAGCATTATTTACTTTTAGTGTGACAGCCCTTGGCTCATCCTCAAAATGCTGCACACAATTCAAAGAAGAAAATCATAAAATGAACTGAAACAATATGCAGTTCTGAATACCTGACTATAGGAAGTACTGTTTTACTAAAGAAAAAAAAAATAAAAAATACTCCTCCAAAAAGGATGACAAAACGGCCGCTTAGACAAAAACCTAAAACACTACTGGAGGAACACAATAGTATTGTAGAAGACAGATAAATAGAATCACCAGACTACTTTTCTGTGGGAAAAAAAAAGAAACAATCCAAATTCCTTTCTTTTGTTGATTGTATTTTTTAAAAGGCATTTCTGAACACTTCAGAAGCAAGAAATTATCAATATATTTAGCAGTTTTGGTAAGAAAGACTAGTAGATCTCATTTCAAAGTTTTCACCTCTATTGCTACACCTCCTTTGTAGTTCAGCATTTATTGATCTCATACCTGCTGAGAGCTGTTAGCAGATGTGCTTGTTGAAGAGCAAATCCAGTATCTTGTGGTGTGACAACCAGCAGATTGTGCAGAAGGCTGCAAACAGCTGACAAAAGGGCAGGTGTGACTACAGCATGCTGTTTAGACACAGTAGCAGACATGGGAGAATCGTGTTGACTTGGAGATTCTGCTGTGGTTGTATCACTTTGACCTGGAATGCGTTTAACATAAACAAAGAAAAAGGAAAACCACCAAAGATTAATTAGAGCAGTTACGAAAAAATAAATTGTTTTTTCTTTTTCATAAAATATCCCACACCCCTCTAGATATAAAACAGTATTTTCCGGAAAAAAAATCCAAACCACCACCACTGCTACCACAAACCAAAAAAACCCAACGAAACAAAACCAAATAAATCCAAAAAGACCAAAATAATAAAAACCACCCCAACAACAAAAGAAACAAATTGAAAGAGACTATTTGAAATAGTTTTGAAATAAAATGTTCCTTCTACATGGCACTAATAATCATTAAAGATAAATGGTCACTTTGGAAAGACATACATTTTCAAGTCTTTTTCTAACAGAAAAATACATTTGTAGATATCTCTGTACATACGTAATTTTGTATTTTTTTTTTTACATTATATATATTTTTACCTTTCTACATAAAAAGATAATTATATATACAACTCTGTGTGGGTGTGCATGTATGTATATGACAACTTTATCACAATTGAACATTTTGAAAGGGTGACCGGATGGCAGGAATAGAACCTGTCTTGAGTTACACATCAAGCATTCAGTATTGACCATTTCCACTTATTTCTATCCAATGTATTACACCCTGTTTCATTCCAAGGGAAGCGTTTCATGTTTGTCTTCCAAAACAGCCACCAGAAGCACCAGTGCTGATTCTTCCAGCAATATGCAAGCTTTTCATGTAGAAATACTGGGATATGGGCAGGCTAATACAATGTATTAATCATTAAGTACACATATTCAAAGTCTGACTTACCTTGTGCCATAAGACGATCAGCTACAGTTTCAGGAATAAAACTGGTGGAATTTGTTTGGACTACTGCCTGAAGCTCAGCAACGCTACCCAGTGATGGTGATGCAGACTGAATCTAGAAAGACACAAAAAGGAAACTAGTTGATTCCAGCTTTTACAGAGCAGACTTCTACTTACATTTTGCTTGAAGTAGGGGGGGTACACACACATAAGAAACCAACAACCTTACCAAAACAAAAAACCCCACAAAACCAAAAATGATATAAAAATTACTGTTCAAAACCAATTTGATTACATTTTGCTCACTATATGCACATATATATAATTTATAAACATCCAATAATTGAAACTATTGAAAGATGTGCAATATGAACAGCCTGAAACATTTCAGTTAAGGGCTAAACAATGCCTATGTTACTGGAAATTTCTCCTCTTCACTGTTCTTTTTCATCCATATAATTGCCTCAATCTATGTTTCAACAAAGATAGAAAGGCATTACTAAAGCATTTAAACTCAATTTTTTCATGGACTATTTGCTCTACTGAGAACATCAGCATTTGTCCATTTGTACCAGGACATGCTCAGATAAAAATATCACAAGCATGTTAGCCATCAGCCAAAGTTGAAGTTCTAGAGTCTTTCCAACCCTATGTACTTCTCTTTATCTTAGTACCGTGATACTTACATGTATTCATTTCATGATGAAGATATGAAAAATTTACCTGACAGTAGATAATTTTATTGTCATACTACTATGTTCCTTCTACCAATCCTACTTTATCTATGATATTATTAATTTTGGGTGCTTTCAAGAGTTCTTCATGCTCTTCCTACTGTGTTTAAAGACACAAGCTTGAGATCAGAAGACAGAGTTTCCAGCTTAATAATATCCTTTTGTGACACAACAAGACCTGTGACTTCTTTCAGAGTATGGGATAAGCTTTTTCACTTTTGTTTTTTTGGTTTCTAGCTGGACAATTCACATAAGAGAAATTTTCTTCAAGAGTGTCACTGCAGAGTGTAAAGGGTACAGAACATTTGGGAATCCAGTGAAATCCCCAGACACTCACAGCTCGAAGAAGGATGTTATTAGACTTTTCCTCACAGTGAGCTTTCTAAGGAAGACTGAAATATTTCACAGGTTTTCTTTTTAAAGTTTTATTAGAATATCAGTTGAAATACTCTTTTACTTAAGGAAAAGTCAAAAGAGATGTAATTGACAAAAATGGCAGAGGGAAGGAAATCACAGATTACTCCCTTCCTAGCTATTGTATCCTTGCAGTTAGGTCACTACTTTCCAGGTTTGGCTTTGATTTACTTAGCAGCATTGTGAGCTACAGAAACTCTCTACCTAGTAATTTCTCAAACCCCCTAGATGTTTTAAACCCCATCTACCAACCCCTATAACTTCCAAACGTTGTTAGGCTTCTATCAGCACATCTTTACTTCAGACCAGAGTCTTTGGATGAGCTAAAGACTGCTACGTCCATACTGTAACACCCTTCTCTCCCCTATTTTCCTCTGGTCTCCCACTACTGTCCATACTACAGTCCTGAATCTTTCTTCTCAAGCATGCTCAGTTGTTCCCCAAAAAAGTCAAAAGGTTACTGTAACACAGGAGACAAACTACAATACAATTTAGGGTGCATGTGTGAAACCCGAGCAGGATTAATGTACAGTTTGGGTCACATAAACAATAGGACATGCTTGGCTAAATAGTGGTCCTGTTAACAAAATGCAGTACCAAACTGTATCAACCAACTTAAAATTCAAATTCTGTTTAGATTACACAAATAAAAACCATATTTGCCAATAGAAATAAATTATTTCAAGTTTCATACTTGCTGATTTAAATAAAATAGAATTATAGAAATAATTATTAAAATCCATTATTTAAATTAGAGTAAATAATTCCATCTTGACACAGGGCAAATTCTGCATTTATTCAACATTATACTTAAATTCCAAGCATTCTAATAAATGATAAAAACATAACTTTTTCTTAAAAAGTACAAACCCAAAATGCAATGTTTAATAGTCCATATGATTCTTCTGCAACAAGTAAAACCCTAAAAGGAATTATTACTATGCTGAGAGTAATCTTAAAGATATTAATTTATACAAGCTTTCACATCTTAGTAAATAATATCTTCTACATGACAATTTTTTCTCCATCTTCTAATTTCAGGATGACCATGAGCCAGCACTGTGCCCTTGCGGCCAAGAAAGCCAATGGCATCCTGGGGTGTATCAGAAGGGGGGTGGTTAGTAGGTCGAGAGAGGTTCTCCTCCTCTACTCTGCCCTCATGAGACCACATCTGAAATATTGTGTTCAGTTCTGGGCCCCTCAGTTCAAGAAGGACAGGGAATTGCTTGGAAGAGTCCAGCGCAGAGCCACAAAGATGATGGAGGGAGTGGAGCATCTCCCTTATGAGGAGCTGTTGAGGGAGCTGGGTCTCTTTAGCTTGCAGAAGAGGAGACTGAGGGGTGACCTCATTGATGTTTATAAATGTGTAAAGGGCGAGTGTCAGGAGGAAGGAGCCAGGCTCTTCTCTCTGACATCAAACAATAGGACAAGGGGCAATGGGAGCAAGCTGGAGCATAGGAGGTTCAACCTGAACATAAGGAAAAAGCTTTTTTACTGCGAGGGTGACAGAGCACTGGAACAGGCTGCCCAGAGAAGTTGTGGAGTCTCCTTCTCTGGAGACATTCAAATCCCACCTGGACGTGTTCCTGTGTGACCTAGTCTAGGTGATCCTGCTCTGGCAGGGGGATTGGACTGGATGGTCTTTCGAGGTCCCTTCCAACTCCTAGTATTCTGTGACTCTGTGATTCTACGACTGCCTAAACACTTTGGGTGAAGAAATAAAAATAAGGTCTCAGATATGTTTAAAAAAATCAATAAAAGACTTATCTAGTTAGAGAAATACTGGCTTCCTGCACTGATGGAACATTTATTGGTAATTGCTTCACAGTGGGACATGGGTTAAAAACAGAAATTTTCTGCTGTCTTAACAGAAAACAAACAGTAACACAATGAAGTTGTTTCCATAATGCTCTGCCTTCCAGGAAAGAAAAGATATTACTGGTTTTATAAATCACTTTTGATAAGGATGAACTTGGGGGGTCTTGGACATCGTATCTAGTAAAGGATATTTACTGCTGCTACCATATTCTTTCTGGGAGCAATGAAGCATTCTGTTGTTTAACAGTGAAACAACAGACTGTGAAAACAAGTTCAATTGGAGAAAAGAAAGACTTGCATGTGGGGGGAGATGACGACTGCAGATTAGAACCAATACAAAAGAATACAAAAATTGTCTGAGTGGAAATAGAGGGAAAATGTGAGGGTTTTGCCATTTATCTACTAAATATGAATAAAAGGTCTTTTCTTAACCTCTAGTATAAAAATCCCTCTGGCATTGCTTTAATAGGCTTGCAGTGATTAATTCTATTCATTTCTCTTCTCAAAGGTTTAAATCACTTAACTGTATAGCACTCTGGTAACCATGGCTCCAGAAAATAAAGCACATCTTTTTATAAAATAGCAAGAATATTTCATAGGAAAGAATGGCCGTGACTTAAAGCTATCTGGAAGGTTTCTGTAGATCTTTAACCTGCACTATTTTTAGCTCAAGTTTTTAAATAACTGCTCATTTTGCTAAACAGTCCTGGGCACAGAACAGCCCTGGTGTATTTATGCAGTGTGAAGCAAGTTGGTGTCTCCACGCTAATTGGTGTCCTCAATCATACATACGAAACACAAAACAAACACGTTGGTTAAAATAAGGATTTGTTTTCTGTAATGATAACCCTAGTGAATGTTTAAACTATGAATGATATAAAAGACAAAGATTTTTAACCTTCTCAGAATTAGACTTTCTGCAGTAGCCACATTCCAGTTTAGAGAAAAACAAATTTGACAAAAATCTCTAATCCACTGAAACCTTAAAGATGCTAAATACAGGGTGTAAGAGTTGAGTACAGACAATCCAGCTCTCCTGCTGCCTTTTACATGACCTTGAATCATTAATTTCACCCTCACATCACTATTCTTTATAAAATGGGCAAAATTGTACTTGTGGCCTCTGTAAGACCTCTGACAAACTATTTTACAGACTAAAGTAAAAAAAAAATATTAATATACTTGCTTTTTAATTCTCTCCAATTTATTTTCTACAAATGTGGAAAAAATTTGGGGATGGGGAAAAACATGAAGCAAAAAAGTAACTTGGATACTATTTTTACTTAAGGTTATATGAACCCTGTGTGAAATCAGCCTTTGATAGCAGATAGCTCAATTAAAGTATTGATTGCATGAAAGCTGAAAACAGATAAAACTTTTTGTGAGAACTGTTTTCAAATATATATTAAAAAAATATCCACCAGACCTTTTCTCTTTATAGAAAATAAAATTCAGATAATTCAGTAAAAAGACATCAATTTTGCTTCTGCAAAGATCTTCAGGATATGGCTTACTGAAGCAAAAAGCAGTTTCAGCATCCTATACTGACATTCCTGATATGAATGGATACAGATGTATTTAGATGTTTTTAAAAACATTATTAAAATATCAGAGAAGAGCTTCTGATTGAAACAATCCTGCTTGGCTTGACAGACGGTAACTCACAATTATTTGAAGCTTTTGTCATCAAATATGTACCATACACACACACACACACAAAAAAAACAACCCAAATGAAAACAAAACAAAAACCCACCACACATTCTTCCCTTCAATAGGGCCTGCAAACTCCCTTTCAACTGTGATGGGGAAAGAATGCCATCTAGTGGGCTTCGATTAACTACATCTTCCTAGTGCCATCAACGTAAAAATTACAGAAAAACTTCTACAAATTTTTGGTAATTACTTTTTTAGATGTATTTAGTTTCCTCATACATTAAAATGGAAAGCTTTCGCTTAACTGATTTCAAGACAAGTTTCAATTTTAAAAAGTATTTCCAAACTTTATACTAGATAGACAATAGTTATTAACTGCCCTCTGAAATGCCTTCCTCTGTCTTTCTTCTCCTAATTAATACTGGTATTAGAACATCAGACCTCTGCAGCTTGCCTTCCAGTTTAAAACCCATTAATAAAACTCCTGAAAAAGAGAAATTTTAGCTTACAACTAGAGTATATTTTTACCTTAATTATTAAAAACATATCAGATAGCAGTAACTGAACTAGACAGCAATACATTTATAACATAATAAAAACAGTAAGGAAAAATTGTAATTGTGAAATATTTTGAGCCAAAATTTCAATACTGCTTTTCTATGTTTTTATTTTTATCACTATCAACAGCAAAGTTAGGCATAACAATTTTAGTCAATAAAGTAAGATAGTAACCCATACTTTAACACTCTTTGTCATATCAGCATATCTATTTAACAGAAACTTCTGAGCTATGATATTATGGCTTCAATATTACTTTAGATGGTTATTCATAAAGTTAAATTTTTTTTAAGAAAATATAAAATTATAGAAATTTCTTTCAGTGCAACGTGTCAGTGTTTTCTAGGAGTTACGCTACAATCATTGTAAATACATTATTTTTATCAGGTAACTGAAGAATAAAGCTTCCTCCGCACCCTGATCTGATGCTGCAAATCTACTCTGGAACTGGAAGAATGTATTTCAATTTTTCCTCCTTTGACTTGCTGTCTTGAAGGACAGCACAAGTTTACAGCCTTTCATGGCAGTAATCATCCTAGCCAGAAACAAGTTTTTTCAAGCAGCCACCTGCTTTCTTCTATTTTTCATTTCTATTTTGGGTCTTGCAAACACTTGTGCCACTTTCATATTTTATAAAAGCATCTTCAGAATCCAAAGTTTGATATGACACAGAAGAAAATTTTAACCCAATGTACTTCTTTGGTTTTGATTGATCTAGTTCTGTAGCTGTGTAGTGTAAATATAGGTTCATTCTGAAAGAACAATTTGGATAAAAGCAGCAGAACTGACAACTATAGATGGACATGACTGTGTTATGTCAATAAAGTCAATTACAAAGTAATCTCCAGAGAATATGTCTTGCTGTGAGAAGCTATAGAATTCAGCACTGCTTTCTGCATTTGACTAGTCAAAGTAAGCTATTTTATTTCTTTTCACTCGGGTAAATAGCTATAAAAGTTTTCTTCAGTATACTAAAGCTACTTCAGAGTAAATTTCAATTTAGTTTCAGCTTTTTTGTTTTCAGTTTAATTTCAGTTTTGTTTTGTTGTGTTCTCCTAACATTTGTAAAAGTGCTAATTTTCTTCAAAGTTTTTCAGGAACAACATTATACTTAAAATACATAGGTTACTCTGCAAGTTACCATAGTTTCAGATGTTGACTGAGAATGTGAAGATCGGCTTTGACTGGATGGAGCCTTCCAAAGATTAAGAGAATCATCAAAATCTGCATAAAAAAAAATAAAAATAGAACTAAAAAGTTTTGTTTTTTTGTTACTGCAAGACCAGCAGAGAGCATAACAAGCTTTTCAAAGGATTGTTTCAGTGAAACAGAAAAGTAGGCAATCAGTTATCTTTCTGAAGATCTCCAAGAACAAGTTTTCACACATTGTACTGATGAATTCTTATCCAGCAAATCCCTTGAATAAACAGAAATTAAATTAAATTAAATTTTCAGCTGCAACATAGTCTGGAAAAAGCTAAATTTAGCTCAAACTGCTGTTGCATAACCTTTAGTAATTTGAAATAGTTCAGATTTACTTTTATTTAGTGTTATAGTACAAAAGCTTTGAAGATACTGGGGTCTCAGAGCACAGACAATGAGCAGATATTCTCATTTTCAAAAAACTTCAAATTCACATTTTAAGAGAAGCAGTTTCAAGAGACATCATATTCATAAATATAATGAAGGCAGAATTACATTGTAAATTTGTTTCAGAATAAAAAGCACCAAAATGTTATAGCACAAAGCTGTCAATACTAGGTTTTGAGGGTTTCTTATATATTTAGAAAATAACAAAGAACAAAGAACTAAATTACATGGATTCTGAGTGCAAAACCCACAAAACTAGAATTACTGTACATATTTTAGCTAATTATTAAATAGAACTAAACATTTTTTAACATAACTTTGCAGATAAAATTTGTGTATATTCCTGAAAAATGTGATGAAAATACATGGGGGAAAAAAAAATGTCAAGTACAGTTTCAGGAAAATAAACCAAAGCATAATATTCTATTAAGAGACAACAATGGCCCTATTAAAAAGCAGAAACAGACCATTATAGATCAACAACACAATTCTGAACATATGAATGAAGAACTTAAAAGCCTTTCATGCACTATAATTTTAAGAGATAGAGCAAACATTGTCCTGTCCTCCTTTTTTTAAATAAAAAAAATATATCTTAGATGATTATTGCCTCTTCTTTCCAAGCTCCTGGAAAAACATTTTTTTGGCTTTGCTTTTCAATGACCTAACAAAATGTACCTCTACTGTTTACTGAAAAGCTCTACAATCCCAGAGCTGGAGTCACTCTTTGATGTGATATTGCATCAGCTAACAGAACTACGAAGAGGCACAAAAATAAGACGACCATGGGAGGAGTGAAATGTGTTGGATTGAAAAAATTCCACTTATAGATAAATAAAGCAGCCACAGAAGAAACTGGGGATATTTACAGCTGGAACTTTGTCTACTGTTGAGGTACTTCTCTGATAACTCAGCAAGTTAACGAAGAATATTTATTGTCCTTGAGTCTGTCATAAAGTCGTAACTTGGTAGGGGAAAGAGCATTCCTCTTCTGTTCATGCTTCTGTAACTTAGATTTAACAAAAGCAGACCTACAAGAATTGTAGCCTTAGAATATGGAAATACAGAAACTCAGGTACACAAAAATGAAAGAAACCAAAAGGAATGAACTTACTAATTTTCCCTCTCTTGAACAGTTTTTACTAATTGAACTCTCTGAAGAATTTCCTAGCTTTCTAAACTTAAGATCATCATACATATTTGGACAAGAATGTGGGTTCCCACAATGCACCATATTAAGACCCAGAAATATTGTTCAGAAAATGAATAGTCAATATAAAAGTTAGACCTGAAATACTGCAATTGTATAGAGGTTAAAAAAAATAAATCAATCCAATCTGAGTATTAAATTTGATCATGATTAATTAATTTATATCTGAATGTATTAGAATGCAGCTAACTGCATATTAGAGTCCACTCCTACTCATGTATCTTTAAGGTTGAACACATCAAGAAACAGAAGTAAGTGTTTTGGAAACAGTTCATACACTTGTTTTTCCTAGAATTTCATTGTACTGTCTGTCAAAGTCACAACTGTGGAAAGTATTTTACCCCTAATGTTTTGCAAGACAATGTATAGCAGAACCAACAACAACTTTTCTATTTGTAACTTTTTGAAGATGTAAATAACAGCTCCTACTTTTCTCTGATATGTTAAACTAGTGACTTTTCCACTTAAATCCTCAGAGAAGCATTTTGACTTAACAAAATATTTAAGTTCATGGTTTATACATTCATTTTCACTTCCATTTTTAGTAAGAATTATTTAAGGTAAGTTACTTACAACTAGAAGTTACAATATTTAAATAGGTTTAAAATACTACAAGATTACATTAACATCACTTACCAGCTATGGCACCTTTTTTTATTTTGAGGTTGTCTTCCTTGGAAGAATTCAAATCAAACATATAACATCCTAGGTAACAGTGTTTCACCATCTGATTGACGTGTTCATAGAATTGGGAATGAAACAAAAGGGCTTTTAGTGCAGGTTTTCCCATCTGAGAGAGGCCAGATTCTTCATCATGAACACAGGGACCCTGGAGACATGAAATTTACAAAGATCATTTCTTTAAAGGAATCTTTTACATAAACTGTCAAAAACCCCCAAATTAAGCCTAATAATGTGCATGTGTGTACACACATAGCTGGTTTACAGGGTGTAACTAACAGATTCCAAAAACCAAATGCAGATTTTTCATGATATATTACAAAAACTGTAATGATTTAGCAAAAGGGAAGTAATTATTTAGTTCCTGAGAAATTTGTTAACAGCTAAGTAGAAAGACACAGAAAACTATTACTGGATGGTTTTTAAACAGTGTATGTATCAGAAGACTTTATAATTTTATTTTCTCATTTAATTTTATTTACAGATATCAACTAATGCAAAAGTTTTCTTTAGAAAAAAGCCCACTCATACTAAGATGACACTAAATTTCCTGAAAAGGTCATCTTGTTCTAAAGTATACTGCCATTATACTACATCTATCCACGTTAATCTACCATGAAAAAAGATTTCTTTAGAAAACAAGACAGAAAAAAGAAAAAAAATCTCTTTGAAGAACGGTTTTCAGTCATTTCTTTTTAAATACTAACTTCAGGGAAAACTTTCTAGAGAAATGAATTTACATCTGAGAAGAAGCACTTCATAGTCTTATTTCAAATAAAGAGTTTGATTTGACTGCCTTTGTTACAGTATTTCTCCAGTGTTTTCTATGGTAACAGATGAAATAAAGAAGTTTTATTAAGTTACATCATAACCTGTTGTAGAGCGACCATAAAAATCAGAAGTGTTAACTGGCAAAAGAACTTAGCCTGAGAAAAATTCAAACCAACTACATTCCGCAAGGCACTTTTAGGAGGCATCTTGCAATACTTCAAAAAGAAATTCTTTACTATTATGGAAAGAAAATTCATCAGTGCTGGTTAGAAACTTTCTTTGGCAGTCAGGAGAGAGCAGAGATAGATCAACCACAAATAAGTAATTTGAAAACCACTATTTGTCCCCAAGAGGCTCTAGATCTAACCCCAACCCCTCCATTTACACTGAATGTAAGCTTATGTTCCAAGAAAACAAAACAAAACAAAAAACCAGATCAAGCAGCAGAAGTAAAACTATTCTGTGTTACAGAGTAAGTTATAAGCAGAGTTTTGGATGGTTACTGCTCATTCTTTTTGGTTTCTGTAACGAACAAAACAGGCTATTTTCACTTTTTGACTTTTACGACAATTAATGGAGAATCAGATATAACAGTTTCAAGAAGAATGTAGCATTGCATGCAAACTATTTACAATTAATTATAAAACTGTACTTATACATCATCAGCAATATACTTAGACTGTGTCAACTATGAAAAATTCATAATTTGGAATTTCTGCTGGTCAAGATTTCACTATCCAGAATTGTCTCTGCAAGTTTAAAAACCTATGCCAGACACTTTTAAGGGGCCCTGAAAGAGTTACTCATTGATTACATTCATAAAGTGCTCTGACTTCAGCAATCTTCACAGAAAAGAGTATGTTGCAGAACTAGAATGCTTTACTCATAACAATAATTCATAAGCTGATCAACTAGATAACAGCAACACTATGGACATTCTTGTGAAGATGTCTACATCTTGCCTACAAACTCTATTAACAGCCTTTCCTTTTGCAGCCCTATTTACCTAAGTGATAAAATGATAATGTTCTGCTTTGGCTATGCTTAGTTATTCCTGCTCTTCACCCAGATCCACTTATAGTTCTCCTTTGAATTTGCTTGCATTAAGGTCAACAGACAAACCATCTTATTCAGTGCATGAGAAAAAATAACTCTGAAACATAGAATTTGATTCTGGTGGTATCTTGCAATTTTAATTGTTTGTATTTTCAAAAGCTTTAATTTACCAGTTACCCTAAAGTGTTGTTTGATAATATCTTTCAGCATGAACACTTATTAAGTGATGAGCAATTTCCATTAAATTGCATTTCTTAATAAGAATCACATTGACTCAAAGCTTCTATTAACTGCACTGGAATTCATCCAGAATTTTGCAACTGTATTCAATTTTTGTCACCTCGTGATAGCTGTTTAAAAAAAGACTAAAAAGCAACTTTTAATAGAGTTTATACTGACAAGTTACAATAGCTGCCTTTATAAATCTCCCACTATTATGAACTGAAAGAATTACTATTTATGGTGATAAAATATAAGTAATAAGCAAGAAGACTGAAACAAGTGCCAGATTCATACAATTACTAAAAACATACTGTAAAATGCAGTTCTGCAAGAAATAGAATAATTGATTTTTGGTGCAGCTGAATCATAGATTACTTATTCTAATAAAATAGGAGCACTATTTTCAGCACTAACTTCATCTTCTGCAAAAAGAAACAGATAAAAACAGGATAGGTTGCATCTGCAAATTTCTTCAAAAAGAACATACACTGTACTATTGCTCTTGCATAGGCACAATCTCATATACTGGAATGAACAAGAGGGATAGAAAAAACAGGTATCAAGGCAACCTAATGTGAAAAACGGGAAAATAAGATCCAAAGATCTGTATGTAAAATAAACCAGACTTGCCAAAGGTAACATGAGATGACTGACTCAAGATCAGAACTGGAGAAATCTCCAGAGGATCTTATCAGTTTGTATAAATATCTGCTTAGAGAAAGTAAAGGGAAACAGACTCCTTTCTTTGGTATCCGGCGACAGGATAAGAGGGAATGAGCAAAAACTGAAATACAGGACATTTAATTTAAACTTAAGAAAAAAAACTTCTCCCCTGTGAGGATAGTCAAACATTAGAACAAGTTGCACAGAGAGGTTGTGGCATCTATAACCTTGGAAATACTCAAAACACAATGGGACACAGCCCTGAGCAACCTGCTGTAGTTCACCCTGGTTTGAGCAAGGTGGTACATTTTTAAGACTTAAAATTGACTTAAGCAACAAGCTGCTTTATCGGTCTTTGGAAAGGATTGTTTCTCATCACTTACATATTTCTTTCAAAATACGTTATAAGCATCACATTCTCAGAATTTCTTATTCTTCATACACTTCAAATCATATCGCATTCCAAGTGTGGGTAAAATAAATGACCAATTTCTAACCAAGAAAGTTAATGATACTATTAAGTATCATTAGTAATGCAAGTTACCAAAGAGCCTAAAGATACTATATATTCATGAAATGCAACATATATGGAAACTAACTTTGGTTCTTTTCTTGAGCATGCTAGAAGTTTGAAAGAAGTTTGTCTATTCATATATTCCTCTTTCCAAAATGTCATCTTACACATGTAATTTTTAAAGTTTATATTTTATAGGTATACTGACATAAGTTTTTGTATCAAATAATGTGTCTCTGTGACATTATGACCTTTCTCATCAAAAGCAGAAGTCACTCACTTGCCACATAGAATCTTTCATGTCTTCTGAAGGAATTGGAATCACAAGGAGATTTTGTAGAATAAAAGCAGCCTGAAAGAAGTGAAAGTATCAATATTGTCATCTAGCCATAACAGTTCAAAAAAACCACATCAGACCGAACAGCACAGTCTATATATTATTCCACTGCTTTAGATATATGTTGAAACACAAAGAATTTTCATGTTCATGTTGGAAAAAACAAAAATTAAAAGGATATAACCTAAAACCCCTCAATCTTCAACTATGACAAGCACAAGAGAAAGTTGGCAAGAAAAAAAAAGACAAAGGAGAGATGGAATAGAAATCTCTAGGAAACAAAAATTACTTTGGAATATGTAATTAGTTAAGCAACAGAGCTGGGAAGAAACTAGCCCAATATTTGACACAGGTGTTCTCTCTTAGTCTTTCTTAGAAAACAAAAAACAACTATGACTAGAGTTGATAGAAAACTGCAGATAATGTGTACACAGCTTAAATATAGTATTATATATCTTTATGTGCTGTTCCATCAGAGTACAAACTTCCAGTTCTCACAAATAAACCTTAATGTCTAAGCAAATCAGCTCACCTCATGTCTGCAATAAAGAGAATTACTGCAGATCCAGTGATGAGTTTGTGCCAAAGTGTTCATAAATGGAACAAAATAGTCATTAAAATCTGAGCTCATTTGTTATGCTTCAGCAACCTAATTGTCTACAAGAGTAAGCCTTCAGAGTTTTTAATGCATTCAGTTGTATTGTTTAGATAATTTCTGCTTTTACAGTAGTCATCTGTAATTGATGCTTCTCGAGTAATTCTAAATAAGCTAAAAGTATATTTTAATTAGGTAGTACTTAATTTACAAAGCAGTAGGTGTTGAGGAGCACTGAAAATAGATATATAGAATTAAAAAATCCTTGACAATCTAAGACAGCAGAAGGACACAAGAAACATACCTCTCTGCGTACCATGCTACATTCAGATTGGTCCAGAAGGATGTTTATCACTGTTCCCCACAGCCCTCCTGAAATGTTTTGGCAACTTTCTGCTAAAGCAATACATCCTATTTCAAGAGATGTAAGAGCTGATCCTATTCCAAGTGATGTAAATCTGACCTAGTACAAATAAGCATAAGACAAAATAATATTTCTTACAGTAATTAGCAATACATTTTTTTAAATTATTAAGTTGTATTATCTGGAGCTTAAGGTAACAATTTAAAAAGTAGCAATATCTTTTCTTATATTTCTGTGGTCCTATACTCATTCTCACAACTATATGTACATACAAATGACAGAATTAATAAAATAGATTCTCAATACTTAAAAAGACTAAGATAGTCTTCAGTATTCTTTATATTTTACCACTTTAAAATAGTCTCATTTAGCAAACTCATATAGTTTAACACAGTTGCATCAAATATACTTGATCTAAATTTGTAGGTCATGTAAATGTTTCTGCTTTGCAGCTAAATAACAGCAATGTTAATGAAAACTGCCTATGAATCATGATTATGAGTGACTAATGAAACCACAGAAGACAGAAGAGGTAGAGAAGAATTACTCAGAAGATATTTATATGGAAACATCCTCCCTACTTAATTGTTAGTGATATTTACAATATAGCCAGTAACATTTTAAATAATGCTAAACAGTAGCTTCATTATTAAATAAATTATTGAAGCAAAAATTTTGTAAATACTTAAAGGTCAAAATAATTCAACATAAAGGAGATATCTTAACTAACCTCAGGGTCTCTATCTACCCATAAAGGAACCAGCCATGCCAGACCTAGCTGAGAAATGACTTGTTCTTCACTGTTATCATAAGGCAAAGACCAAAGAGATATCCAGTCCTAATTAGAAAACAAAATAAATTAAGAAATTATTTTATAAGTATTTCAATGCTATGCCAATCTCTCAACAGCCTGAGCTACCAATTATATACTAAAACACTTTAAAACCACACGGATATTCCGCAAAAAGGATTTTTATTCTGCCTCTATGAACGTCTATTTAACCTGCTGACTTCACCTAATGAAAAAAATTAAATTTGTGTCATCTTCACAGAATTAGGACAGCAGTGCTAAAGAGAGATCAGATATTTTACTTGAAATACTGGGATAATTATTTCAATTCAAAATTTACTTACATTTTTTTATTTTTGCTTTTTATTAATATCTTTCTCTTATATTAAACACATGTAGAAATCTACCAAATAAGAACATGCAATTATTTCTTTGATCATAATTCTTTTTCTTCATGCACCTGCCACGTGATTAAATAAAGTCTCACAGACTACCATATACTACTCAGCTGCAGATTCCATGAAATCATACTTGACTTCGCAATTTAGCTCAGGTTAAAAAAAAAACCAAAAACAAAACAAAAAAAACCCCCATGCCTACAAAATGCTCTAACCATGGCACTGCATAAACAATGCATTAAGTTTGTAATGAATCATGACACCTAAAATTTTGTGTATTTGTCTTCCGACCACATCAGTCCTGTATATTTCTACACAGTAGATGACTGATATTTCCTTTGAAGCAGCACATTTTGCATAGATTTTCTAAACACACACAATATTATTTAGAAAAAGCATAGTATTTTACAATCTTTTAATCTGGGGAGGGAGGGCATCGAAGTACAAAATTAAATACAAAACATAGGTCAGTAAAGCATGAGCAGACAAATGACACCATAGCAAAGAAACAAAACACATTGCAGCAATTTTAGTACACCTTAAGTATATGCTCCATTTCTCATGTACTACAAACACCTGTAAGTAATTTCTGTCCATCAGTACGAGCTAAAGAATCTTATGTCTGACTTAACAAGCTGGTTCTTTTAATAACAAAGAACCATAATAGTTCATAATACTGCTAATGAGCAAAGAAATAATTTGGTTTACCTAATTTTAATTTCAAGTCATTAAACTGGGCATTTTTAGTTAGTATTAACTTTTTTTTTAAAAAATCAGTTATCCATTGTACCTCTTGTATAATACTGCTTGCACAGAGGAAGAAAGTTAAGTTTGTATTTCTCTTTCCAAAAGATTTGACACTGAATCACATGATTGTAAACTACAGCCAGGATTTAACATTTCTTTGAGACTACAAGTTATTAGTACAGTACAGACAGTAACTGTTGTACACACAGATTATGATTTAGAGTCAAAAAATTGCCACCTATCATATGCTACTATACATATTATTCTATGAAACAGATATTAAAAAAAAATAATTATCAGTTCAAGTCCACTCCTTTATCCATGCATTTATTATGTAAATCTAAGAGGCTAAGAGGTTTTCCTGCAGTCAACCTAATACTCAGCCCCCTGCAATTCTAATAAACTTTGTCAGCACTTAATATCTTGAAGAATGAGTACAGAACTGAAGAAACAGACATCTGGAATTTAGAGAAGCAGGTATACATCTCTAGTTAGATGTGTACTTGATCACATTGAAAAGGATTTCACTTGTGGCTATCACAGATATTAACAAAAGTGGATTTTAACTCTCCAAAATGGTTACACTGAATTGCTGACATTGCTTAAACTGCTTCAGGATGAATGCCTTATATGAACTCTCAAAAATTTAGCACTTAAAATATGCACATGGACACAGAGCACAGAGAAAAATTTAGCTAATAAAAGGACCTATTGTTATTTATAAGTGAAACAATAATTATTTAATGTATGTATATGTTCTTTCATGTATACATACATATAAACATGTGAAAGGATACATACATATATGTGTTAACATGTTAGAAAGCCTGTTATCTGTACAAGACTGAAGAAATAATGAAGTTATAAATCCTTAAATTTATTAATCCTACGTAAGATCCTGATTTCTCATCTTTCGTAAAAGGGAAGTTATACCTTATTCTGAAAGAAGAGCTTTCTAAATCCACAAAATTATTTGCAGAATAATTTCAGTAAGGCCAGAACTGTATCTTCAGCTTTTATGTACACTTTACACTATCCTATTCATTTATCTAACGTTACATACCAAATGAAATTACCAGATTTTTTTTTTTATTTTTACTGTCTGTTGCTATATATGTTCCCCCATCACATACAAAAATATATCATTTAACAGCATTAAATTTAACATTAACAGTTAAAATTTATCTGTTCATAGCTCTCACAAATGTCAAGATAAGGACAACTGTAATGCACTCACTGTATCCTTGGCTTGAGTCATCATTTCATGAGATAAGTGAAGCAAGCAAAGAACTGTGCTTTTCGTAACACCTTTTCCCATGAAGGACATAGCATTTCCTCCCCATTCTACATAAAACGATGAGATGACCTAGGAATGAGGGTACAAGTTCATGGTAGCTTTACTGTAAGCAGTATACAGGCAGAGTACAAACTATCTTACACACTACTAAGTGATAATTTAAACTCATGAAAAGATACCAGATTTTTTAGCTGAATTTAAATAGCTTATTTAATTATGAGTCATTTGATCATGTGATGGTTAAACTTCTGAAGTTCAGTGGTTTATTTACTCCTTCAAATGAAGAACGTAAACAAGCTTAATAAACACAAAATTGAACAGAAACATGAAAGTTTGATTTCAATGCAAACAGTTCATTTATTGTACCTAGTGTTTTATGCTATGATTGTAATTAAAAATATAATTTTGTTTCAAAATTCTGTGTTCATGAAAAAGGATTATTTATATCTTATATCATGATTTGAATTGGAATAAATGTATTGCCTTTCTATATCAAATGCTAATGAACAGAAATAAAGGCCACTGGATCATAACACAGAATAAACTCTCTGATCAAGTTAAAATAAAAACCATGCTGTTTTCAACATAACATGCTCAAAAATATTTTTTTTAATTATAATCTTAAGAGTTACACTTTTAGATGTAGTTTTCTTGCCAAAGCATAGCGAGTCAAACCTCTCCAGTTTTGCTGCTGTTCCTTCTTTCAGTATCCCACTCTACAGGAATTCTTTCAAACTCACTTTCTCCTCTTCCCCCCAAAAAAGAAACCTACATTTACTTTCACATTTAGGCCATATAATTCTTCTGCATACAGAGCTTATGCATTACTAGCTGATTCCATTCCATAATATTTATGATGATTTTTCTCCAGTAATAATCTTTCTTTTGCATGACAACATCTATAACCTTGGTGCCACTTTCAGTCTAGACTTCAAACTGCAGAACTTATCTATTCAAATAAGTCTAAAACATTTATTTCTATTCAAGAAATCTTGGCAAGTTAAGAATTCCCTCTAAAACACTATTTTTTTCATTGCAAATATTATTATCATCTGTACACGAACTTTCCAGATGCTTATCTGGTTGCTATTCCTGTTATTCAGAATCACAAGTTAATTAAAACTACTGTAAGACTTTGTCAAGCCTCTACCAATGCAACAAATAGATTTTAACATTGGAAAATAAAAAGAAAACTTCTAAATGTACCTATCTTATTGAATACCTGTAAAATGATCAGAAAGCTAGATCTATGTTTTTCCTACAGTTTTAAGAAAACGGGAGTTTTCAAAAGATGTAATTTTAGGAGCAAAAGCTAGTTATCTATCACATTCATGAACTTAGCAAACAAGTAATAACACTGAAAAGAAGAATGAAATTTTGGCTTCCCAACAACTGCAGCATTTTGAATTAGTTCTTTCCTGCTTTCTCTATGTTGATAACCTGCCTAATCAGTTACTTCTCCCTCAGACCACTTTTCACTCATGGATTTGGCCTGTGGTATTTCAAATCAAATATCTTTGATTTTTCCTCTTAGCATTTCATTTATTAAAAAACAAAACAAAACTAAAAAACCCACATCTATTTTTAATCTTGCTTAAATTATAGTCGCTCTATATTACCCCTTTGACAGGGGATGAAGGGACACAAAATATAACCAATAATCTTAAGTACACATACAGACCACTCAGTCTAGTCTCCATGTTTTTGCTATCTACTTAGGAGAAAAAAGCATCTTTCCCAGACCTAGTCCTAGTGATGATATTCACTAAAAGCACATCCTAAAAATTATGTCATTAGTTATACAGTTCTTTACAAGCATTCAAACCAAAAGCTAAGTTATAACATAAGTTACTTACCTCAAGAAGACCTGTTAAATATTTCTTACAAATCGTGACAGGTTGAGCTGCAGCAGAATAGGTACTCCAGCCTGGAAGTGCAGTAACATGAACCATTCCTTGTAATGCTCTCTCCAGTGAGGGAAGTCCATAAAAATGTGGCGCGTCTGTTAGCCTTAAGCATTGTAGCAGCTTTAGAGCCAGTTCGGTTCTGAAAGAGCCAGCAAGTTCCAAGCCCTCTCTAGTTTCATGATTTCAAAAAAAAAATAAAAATCAACTGTCAACATGAAGCTATTATAACGAATCATTTTACAATAGACCAGTCTTCTTATGGTTAGTATGTCAGTCTCAGCATCTCATTCAGTTACTATTGTCTTATGTACAGAATAACACAGAATTAAATTTGACATTTCCAGCTTCACTCAGGTTCTGAAAACATAAATTGCATCTGATTATAACAGAGCTGCTTAACCAAAAAAAGGACAAATGAGATATAACTCTAATTATTAAGGAGCATGATAAATAAAAAGTGAGAGACTGAGGACTACAGATAAACTTAACAGGAAGAATTGCAAAGCTTGGTAGTTACGCTTATGTTTGTTCTGTTTCAATACCATCAGTCCAGAATTCAGGTAGAGAAAAAATGCAGGAGTGTGAGATATAACTAGCAGGGACTTCTCTAATCCTCCATTTTCCAGCTGTCAAATGTTATAAACAATGAATAACTGACTGCAAAAAATGAAGAAGGTAAAATTTTGAAAGTATCTCTACATGCAGTTACATTGTGGCACTTAAATTAACAAATATTTTCTTAATCTGGAATTTCAGTATCTCTTAGAATACACTTGGCCAGAACGATTTAGTGTGGAAAGATGTTATATTAGAAACTCAAAAAAACCCAAAACCTATTAGAAATTCATTTCTGAGTTTGCTTGATTGAGAGAAAAAGGCTGGAATTTCATGCTGGAAGTAGCTGTCCTAAATAATCACTAATGTGCACTGACATACTGTATTAGCCCAAAAAGGAGTTCAATGAAAATATATATTTGTTGGTATTTCAAATACTTCAGTGTTTTAATTTACTATAAATAAATGCTACAAAATCACCAGTTATCATTTGCTTGTGCAAATTTCCAGCTGTAGAAAAGAAATAACCCAACTTCTCCTTGCAGTTTAATTATCATTTGCTGAAAAAGTGACTGTTAGTACATACTCTTTTGTATTTCCTAGTTAATGTCTTAATTTTATTGTGAAAAGGCCTATCACAGGTTGACCTTCACTTCAAGGAGTATATTCTATATTTACAGTTCAAAACTGAGTTATGATGTAATTGTGATTGCGCTATATCAGCAGCAGGTATTATGATCCCCAGTTAGAATTACACAGGCAGGCCCATTTACGCTGTACCTGTCAGTTACTGACATGGAACAAAATAACAATGTGCTAAAAAGACGAATGAGTTCTTTATCCAGTTGCTGCCTGACAGCAGTCTGTATTTCATCTATTTCATCCCGCACTTGGGATTCTGGTCGCACCAGGAGACTCAAAAGGGATTTTGGGTTCTGAAAGAGAAGAATAACAATACAATCACACAATGCATTGCTTAAATCCTATTTTAATACCCACACTAAACCCATTTTTCTGTTGAGAGCTTACAAATCACACACATTATAAATCTCAAATTTCCCAATCATTTTACTATAAAGCATTTCTGTAAAAAGCTCAGAAAAAATTCCTATAAATACCAATTACTTGAATCATGAATCTACTAAACTCCATAAAAGAATACACTGTCAAGGCCTTTAAAATTTCCTGGCATTAAGCCACGATACAATGTATTTTGAAGCATGAAAGAAAAATCAAAGTTATATACAGCAATAACCTCCAATAAAAAAATAGATCACAAAACAAACCACAAAACACAGAGTATAAATATTAGTTTAAGATATAGCTTGCTCGAAAGACTTAAAATAATTTGATATAAAGATTAAATGGGTCATACTTACAAAATTTTATAGGATACCCACTTAGACACATAATTTGAAGCACTCAAATTCTATTAAGTAATTGAAATGAAGTCTTCTAGCTTTTTTTTTCCTACGTGTTTAGAGTGTATTTTAAAATGGGAAAATGCATGTGCATGCAGGCCGCACTTAACATATGGAATCCTTTGTAAGACCATAAATGATCTTGCCCTTGCTTTGTGAAGAACAGTACGTGGCAGACTTCTAAAGCTGCAACCATCATTTTTATCTTTGGCATTTAACTACTGTTTTTATACAGCAAGATTGAATATTACATTTTGACAGATATAATAAAAGTTGGTTTATACGGCTTTTTGTTGTTCATTGCCTATTTGTTTTTATACTTTCCACTTTGACCCATCTTAAATGAGCAGTATTGAATAGAACGGATTTCTCAAATAGAAAGCACAAGAGTCTAGAAAAGCTGAAAAGAAATAATTACATACTTTCAATATTATACATGCATTTTAACTACAGCAACTGAACTGTATGCTAATATACCTTCCTCATGCTTATAAAAATATTTTACTTCAACGTATTATAACCATTTAAAATCAAAACTAAATTGACAGACACATTGAAAGCAAAAACTTCCATCCTAACTTTCAATTCCTGTTCTTAATGCAAGACAGGTAATTCTCATTTATATCTCTTTGCCAAACAGAAGGTTCCAACACTCCTGCATGGAACTTCATCCTTTAAGTTACATAGATGACACATATGTAGTTATGTAGCTAAGTATACCTTATACAGCCACATATGTATGCAAAAACATAGGCATGTATAGTTACCATGACACATAAGAATACGTATTTTTCATATGTACATATAGAGCTCTGCATAGATAACTACAGTTATATGGCTCTTATACAACCACACACAGATGTAGTACTGACCACAGAGTAGTAGATATTAATAACACAAGATCTGCTGTTTCTCACTTGCGTTGAGATAAGGTGTTTTCTTTGAGGAATTCACCAGAAACAAAACAGCCAACCACTTCAGAGTTACATAATTTCTTATCGTTTACAGCTAACTTCTTAGGTCTATTCTTACATTTTTAAGCAATGATTGCAGCATCCACTTTAGATGGGCTGTCTCCAAACTTGATCTCTGCTCTTTAAGCAATTTGTTTAAAAATCTTATGACATCTACTAAAAGTTTCTCATCTTCTGCAGAAGCTGGAAGCACTTGCAGAAACCTGCAATGCAAACAAAGATATTTATTTTCAAACCTGTAGCACATTAAAAGAGTTTAAGATCTCAGCCTGATAGGACTGAATTAACCTGCAAATAATGAATTCTCCATAATTAGATAAAGTAGAATTATATAAATTTCTGTATTACACATATTTACAAGTAGTAAATATTAATTACAACATGCATATCATATATATATATTAAATTGCATCTATTTAAATATACTTTTAAAATAAATATTTACTATATTAAATTACTACACTTATATACTATTATACAGTCAATGAGTATTATAAAATGTTATATATATTAAAACATGTATTTAAATATAGTGAACATGGCACTGCATATAGTAAAAGGTAGAAAAATCTAAACAGGGCCACAGACAGGAAAGAAGAGATAATTAGCTATTAAATACTTGCAATTAAAAAGAACAGCAAAGCCTACCTGTGCATTTTAAATAAGGGTTATTTTTAAATACAGCATTCTTATTTTTGCTGGTTTCACGTATGTAAGTTACAGAACCACACAATCATTGAGGTTGGAAGGGACTCCTGGAGGTCAGCTGGTGCAACTCACCTGCTCATGCAGGGTCACCTACAGGTGGTTGACCAAGTCCATGTCCAGACAGCTTTTGAGTATCTCCAAGGAAAAAGGCTCCAAAATCTCTCTGGGCAATCTGTATCAGTGCTTGGTCACCCTCACAGTGAAAAAGTGTTTCTGGATGTTCAGAGGTAACTTCCCATGTTTCAGTTAGTGCCTATTGCCTCTGGTCCTGCTACAGGGCACCACTGAAAAGAGCTTGGCTCTATCCTCTTTGCACCCTTGCTTCAGGTATTGACAAACATTGATAAGATCCCCAACCCTCTCAAGCCTTGTCTTCTCCAAGCTAAACAGTCCCATCTGCCTTTCCTCGTAGGAGAGATGTTGCAGTACTTTGAGCATCTTAGTGGACCTTCACTGGACTCTCTCCAGCACGTCTTTGTCTGTCTTGCACTGGGGAGCCCAGAACTGGACCTAGCACTTCTACTCAGCACTGGTGAGGCCACAGCTGAGGGAAAGGATTACATCTTAACCTGCAGGCAAAACTCCTATTGCAGCCCAGAATACCAGTGGCCTTCTTTGCCTCAAATTGATCTTGCTGGCTCATGTTCAGCTTGGTGTCTACATGGATGCCCAGAGCCAACTATCAACCCAACACGACCCCATGTTCCCTAAACCATGTCCTGAAGTGCCACAACCACACACTTCTTGAACTAGGGATGGTGACTCCACCATCTCCTTGGGCATCCTGTTACAGTGTTTGACCACTCTTTCAGTAAAAGCATTTTTCCTAATATCCAATCTAAACCTCCCCTGGTGCAACTTGAGACCATAAAGCCAACAATTAGCTGCTCCATCACCTTCCTAGGGATCAAGGTGACTCTGACTGGCCTGTAGTTCCCTGGTTCCTCCTTCCTACCCTTCTGGAAGGTAGGAATGACATTTGGTTTCCTCCCATTCTCAGGCATCAATCCCACTCACCTTGATCACTCAAAGGTTATTGAGAATGGGTGTGACATTACATCAGCCAGGATGCACTTGTGAGTGCATTCCATCAGGGCCCATGAACTGATGTATGTCCAATTCCTTACATATTCCCCGACCTGAACCTCTTCCACCAATGCTATGTCTAGCTTGCAGCAGCAAGTCCACTTTTTTCTGTAGCTTTCCTTTTGTCCCCTGTGTATTTATAGAAGCCCTTCTTATCTTTGACATTCCTGGTCAGATTAAATTTCATTCGGGTACTGGTTTTCCTAACTGTGTCTCTGCATGCTTGGACAGTGTCTCTATACAGCTACCTGTTCGCACTTCCACCCTCTGTAGACTTCTGGTTTGAGTTTTGCCAGATCCTCCTAGTTCATCCATGCAGGCCTCCTGGCATTTTTTACTTCCTCAATTTGGACCATTCTTGAGCTCAGAGGCAGTGATCATTGAATACTAATCAGCTTTCTTGGGCCTCTTTTCTCTCCAGGGCCTTATCCTATCAGATTCTAAAAATGATATCTCTTAAGTGGCCAAAGTCTGCTCTCCTGAAGTCCAGTACTGTGATCTTGCTTTTTACCTTCCTCCATCCTCTCAGGATCCTGAACCCTATTCACATCATGGTCACAACAGCCAAAGCCAACTTAGGTCTTCACATACCTAATGAGCCCTCACTTATTTGTGAGCAAGAGGTCCAGCAGAGCACCTTTCCTCATTGGCTTCTCTGTCACCTGGATCAGGAAGTTGTCACTCACATTCTCCAGGAACCTCTTGGATTGCTTATGCCCTATTGTGTTGTCCCTCCAGCAGGTACAGGGAACAGCATGTATTTATCAGAAACAGAGGTGCACAGACAACCAATTCCATAAATTTGAAAATATTAAAACAAGGAAATTTCTAATTTAGGCATCATAATTTTTCTGCAGTCAACATGCTTACCTGCTTATTGCCTTTAGACAAACAAAGCTCTTAAAAGTCGTTCCATAAGACCCAGAACTGCATTTTAATGCAAGTCTGTCATTTAGAATGTAAAAACTAAGCGTAGTGAGAGCAGCCCTAACATCCCTGTGAGATGCTGCCTGAATGATTGAATTAAAACAATCCTGCAGTCCATAGTCTGTGTGAGTTATTTTGAGTATAAGACTGTCTTCTGAGGATAACTTTAGAGAGTCTAGAAATCTGAAAAGGCATAGAAGAAAAATTATTAGCAGCCAGTATCTTTACGAACTATTTCAGTGAACATTGAATTCTTCACTTCCCAGTTCGAATAAGAAGACAAACCATAAATTGCCTTAAAAATTTATTTTTGTTAACCGATCCCTTCTCCTCCTTCCCTCTCTCTCTCCAAAAAAACCAATCAAAAATAATAATAAAGAACCCTACAACATTTAAATCCTGAGCTGTCTGGGTTCTTTAGAAAAATGGCACCTCTCAAAAAGTTACATGAGAGGTACTATTCACATTGTTTGCAACCAACGGCCTAAAAATTTCCAATAGTCAGAACCACACAGTTTAGTAACAAAACGTGTAGAACCTCTTAAAGGACATAAGACATTGAATTCTGTACACAAAGTAGTTTCAAGGAGAAAAATGATGCTTAAACAAGAGCTCTAGACTTTATGTAAAAATGCAATTTAGGTAAAACATTAGCTGTGACAACATATCTACAGCCTCTTCGGATATCATCCTTTACATTTAAAAAGGACAGCATTGTCAAACCATAATTTGATCTGCTCTTTGAAGTTGAAAACCTATTAAAACTTGATGAAACACTAATTTAATTGAAACTTATTGGGATTTAAAATCCAGACACAATGGCTTACAGAATCACAGAATCACTGAGTATCAGGAGTTGGAAGGGACCTGAAAAGATCATCCAGTCCAACCCCCCTGCCAGAGCAGGATCACCTAGACTAGGTCACACAGGAACGCGTCCAGGCAGGTTTTGAATGTCTCCAGAGAAGGAGACTCCACAACCTCTCTGGGCAGCCTGTTCCAGTGCTCTGTAACCCTCACAGTAAAAAAGTTTTTCCTCATGTTTACATGGAACCTCCTATGCTCCAGCTTGCACCCATTGCACCTTGTCCTATCATTTGACATCAGAGAGAAGAGCCTGGCTCCTTCCTCCTGACACTCACCCTTTACACATTTATAAGCATTAATGAGGTCACCCCTCAGTCTCCTCTTCTCCAAGCTAAAGAGATCCAGCTCCCTCAGCCGCTCCTCATAAGGGAGATGCTCCACTCCCTCCATCATCTCTGTGGCTCTGCACTGGATTCTTTCAAGCAATTCCCTGTCCTTCTTGAACTGAGAGGCCCAGAACTGAACACAATATTTCAGATGTGGTCTCACGAGGGCAGAGTAGAGGGTAAGGAGGCTTACGTTTCTGCTTCTTCCTCATAATGTGTCAGTTGCAATAGGTTTTCAATCCCATGGTACCATGACAGATTCCAAGCCATCTTAAGCATATCTGACACAGGTTTCATAGTCATGCACTCAGAAGACAATGGCACCACAACAGTATTAGGGCTAACTACATGATGAGCACTGATCCTGACTGGGAGATGATACCTTAAGAAAAAAAAAGGTAGAGTTTTGGTTTGTTTGGATTGTTTATTGTTATTATTATTATATGCTCTAATAGACCAAGGTTTTAAGTTTGCAAAAAAATTTAGACTTTTAAAGAGAACAAAGACCTGGAGAAAAACTCCATGGTTAAAAATGCAGACACTTTTGGATTTAAGATAAAATGTTTCCCTTCAATCTCCCACCTCAATCTTTCATGCAGGACAATAAATGGAAAGAAGCAAAGTTAACTGCAAAAAAACCCAAACCCCACAAAACACTCATCCCCTCAAAACCAAAAGAAACTCCCCCCGCACAAAATACATACCGTCTAACAACAGCAACAGGTAAACTGAAGGAAGGCAGACCAGTATCATTACTGTTTATGCCACCAGACCTGCAAGAGATTGTATTATACTTATTATTCCTTATTTTAAGCTTTGACTTTCTACTAACACTACACTTACTATTCCTTTATTATTCATATATAGCTGTATTTTTTCCTCCAGCTAACTCTTTAGTAATACATTAATGAATACATTTGCACTAATAAACAATATTTCATGATTATCATAGAAACATAAAAAGTATTAGGTTGGAAGGGACCTCTAAAGATCATACACTCCAACCACCCCTAAGTAGAGGTAAGCAGGGACATTGTAACTGGATCAGGTTGTTCAGAGCCCCATCAAGCCTGACCTTGAATATCTCCAGGGATGGGGCCTCCAGTGATCTACCACCCTCATATTGACGAACTTTTTCCTAATATCCAGCCTAAATCTACCCTTTTATAGTTTAAGACCATTACTCCTCGTCCTATCGCTACATGCCCTAGTGAACAGTTCTTCCCCAGATTTCTTATAGGCACCTTTCAGGTATTGGAAGGTCGCTATAAGGTCCCCCCAGAGCCTTCTCTTCTCCAGGCTGAACAACCCCAACTCTCTCAGCCTTTCTTCATAGGAGAGGTGCTCCAGCCCTCCTCATCTTTGTGGCCCTCCTCTGCACACGCTCCAGCTATTAAGATAGTTCTTTGATCACACACATACAGAATACTTGTTACAGATGTAATGCACATAAAAATTAAACATACAGAAGCACATGCTTGTTTCCTTTTTCTGTTAGAAAAGAAATATATATACTCTAGGGAGACCTTATAGTGGCCTTCCAGGTCCTGAAGGGTGCTTACATGAAAGCTGGAGAGGGACTTTTTACCAGAGCAGGTGAGGTGGTGATAGAATGAGGGGGAATGGTTTTAAACTGGAAGAGGGTAGATTTAGACTGGATATTAGGAAGAAATTCTTCACTGTGAGGGTGGTGAGACACTGGGACAGGTTGCCCAGAGACATTGTGGATGACCCCTCCCTGGAAGTGTTCAAAGCCAGGTTGGACAGGGCTTTGGGCAACTTGGTCTAGTGGGAGGTGTCTCTGTCCATGGCAAGGGGGTTGGACTAGATGATCTTTAAGGTGCCTTCCAACCCAAACCATTCTATGATTCTCTTATGGGAATTCTAAAAGCATATTTTTTCTGAAGTACCCGAAAATTTCAAATTATAAAATATCATTAGAGAGGTCTGCTGTTTTAAGTGCAACTGTTACACTTAAAAGAAAAAGTAAATAGCAGAAGTCTAATTAAGTTTTTTTAAAAAATGTGTACAGCAAGTTATTTTATTAGTGTCGTTTCCGTTTATGGAAAAGATGGATTACAGACCAAATCAGAGTTTTTTGAAAATTAAAGTAAACTCATAGTCCAAATATACACCATGTAGACCTATACAGCATACAACCCAAATACTGAAACAAATTTATTTGGCCTACAAATACAAAATTTTGGATATAAAAAAGTTTGGAGACTAATTTGAATCTGTACATATATGTGTATACATATATTAAAAAATTATATATTCATTAAACTATTAAAATTTTTCCTACAATGTATGCCATTAAATAACTGTTTTTTTCATACCATGTTTCTGTTCTTGCTACTTCATCAAACAATAGAAGACAAAGTAAAACTGTAGTTTCATTTAAAACAGCACGATCATCTTGGAATATCAGGGAAACTAAATAAAATAAAGATATTTTAAAATGTGTTAGGAAAACATTGACATTTAGTAATACATAGAAAGACACTGGTTTAAATCAACTTATTTGCACTTTCATTTTGCCAGTATCTTAAACAGATGCTACAACATGGGTAAAACTAGCACACAATGATTTAACTTTAAAGTATTAGAGGCTCAGAAGTGATCCAAGGTTCTTAAAAAGGCTTTTCGTTAAACATCTGAACATATTTCACTCATTTTCTTTCCACACACATACTAAAGTCAAAACAGAATGTTTACCTCTGAATAGCAAAAGCAGTAATGATGACTGCTGTGCTAGGGACAGACGAATGACTGGATCAGCATATACAAGTTCACGTAAGAGTGTTAGACATGGCAACACTATGGATTCCATAATCTGCAGGAACAGAGGAAAAAAATAAATATAGATAACAATTGGGATAAACTATCATGGTATGCCTAAAACAGTCATGCTACGAAGCAATACATTCCATTATTTATAGTAGAGAAACCTAGAACTTAGACAAGCACATTTCATCCAGATGGTAACTGCATATTCATTAGAAAATATTTATTCACTTCTACTTCTATTCTATTAATAATTGGTGGTCGTTCTATTGGTCTCTGGCATCTTAACACAATTATATCACTGGCTTCTAAAATATGTATTTTTAAGAAGCATGTATGTGAGCTGGAGGATTTCAAAAAAAAACCTCAAATATTTACAACCATATGAGATTTATTTTTTTTAAATGCAAATAGATTATTGTATCACATTCATTTTCTGAGTCCCAATCTTTCAGATCAGGAAACCTAAGAAGGGAAAGCAGCTTGCTAAAAGTTAAAGTATCAGTGAATGGCAAAAAATATGACCGAAGACACTGCTCCTAAGAATGAGAAGACAGTAGGTCTTTCACAGTACCATTACTTCGTTTGTCTGAGCAATTTTGTTTTGTAAAGTGTATCACCAAGTAAAGTTTAGTTTAATAGTGAACAGAAAAGCCCTGCTTATTTAGTATGGAAAGATTATTTTGCACAGCTATACATACAGCCTTATTTAAACGGTTCTGCTTCCACCAACCACTTTCTTTGGTAGCCATTTCTCTAGAACATGCAAGGGTTTTTGTTTGGTTTTCGTTTTTCATTTCTATTGGTTTTAGGACGAAAGCAAAAATCATTTGAAGGGAGAACCAGCATCTGAACTAGATTCCCTCAGAATAGCATCCTAATGACTAATTTAGTCAAACCTAGATGGTCTTTCTTTGACCTAATGAAACTAGCACTACTTTGTTTTGACTAAGCTATATCAAAATAGAGGTAAGCAGTGCTCCTACTTAATTTATTTTCTATTCTGGTGGATAGCTCATTTCAATTCAGAAGTAGTCTGAATTTGAGGGACCTAAGGATGGGACCTCTACTGGCTGTGTTCAAGAAACAGGAGTAAGACTGCTTAGTTATTTTGCAGAGGAAAGATTTTACCACTATTTTACAGAGCAGAACATTTGAGAACCAAAACTTCTACCAACATAGAATTGACAAACAATTTTCCGAAACCTAGAACTTGAAGAAGTGTAATCTCTTATACGGTTGGGTTACACTCTTCTGCTGACTTGATCTAACCCATTCATCTGCAATTTTAGATCTATCCTCTAAAATACTCTGCAACTTTCATCATGTAAAGTTTAAACATCCTGCTTAGTATAAAGATCGTATGTGCTGCAAGCCATATATGCAAAAGAAAGGTGTCACAGTCCCTAAAGAGTTGTTGCCTGTTCCCTGCCTGGATTAAATTAACGTTTACAAAGGGCTAAAAGCATTATTTTAAAGTTTATTCTAGACTCCTACTTGGCTATGAAGGATCTGCTTACAGCAATATATTACCCATGCTTGTACTTCTGTATCATTAAGTAATTATGCCAATATCTACCCACTATGCAAAACAAAACAATAGTTCTGTTACTCTGTAACTCTAAAAATAAAGCACTCATATTCAAGCTATCATACACTGGACTGGACATTCCTTAATGCTACAGGAATAAAATAATCTTAAATACTGATAATCTGGGGAAAAAAATATCATTACCAAAGAAGAATATAGTTTTCATTAGTCTGACAAATAAGAGGAATTCCACTAATTATCAAACAGTGATTTTCTCTTGTATGTTTTTGAGAAAGAAGTCATTACTATACAGAAATTCTCATGGTTTCTTAACTCATGGTTTGCATTGTTGGACTGCTATAAAAATAGTATGCAAGCAGACTAAGAAATATGAAAAATTCTACTGCTGTCATGATGTGCAATGCTTGCAGAACTTGTAACAATAGTTTTACCTTGCCATCCACGTGTATATATTCATTAAGGTAAGCCAAAATCTTTTCTATGACACCCAACTTTTTCACAATGCCATGCATTTTGGTATCTGTAGGAAAAACGAAAGATAGTAAGAATCACTGGTTCTGCACCACCTTAATATTAAGCTTCTTTCTTCAAGATCACAAAATCTTGCTGTTGAGAACAAGTTTCTAAAATGGCCAATCAACAAAACAAGTACAGTTCTAGCTCTGCCAAGACAAGCCTCCTCGAAGTCTTGTTATCTGACTACAGTAGGCTCTTGTTAAATACCTTACATAACTTCCCATAAGAACTTTACAATTACAGTGATCCCCACAGCAATTCAATTTCAGTCAAACAAGGATTTTGCTTGTAATATTTAAAAAGTCTTGAACAGTTTAATATTGAACTAAAAATGTTACTTACTTTCACCACGAGAGTATTTTCCACTGATCTCATCCTTCAGAGCAACTGGTTTATGAATATTCAACAATAACAAAAAAGCTATGCCATTTCTGTTGGTTGGGTTTGTTGGTGGTTTTTTTTGCTGTTTTGGTTGGTTTGTTTGTTTTTAAATAATTAGAAAGTGATCCTCCATATGAAACCTGTCCTGACAAAGCTGTATTTTTTCATGTACTATTTCATCCTATGCTATGTTTCCTATTACCTTTTGACAACTGAAAACTTTGGCAGCCATAACTAAATGTATTTTATGAGTTGAAGTAGACATTTCGTCATTTTTGTGATCATTTTTCTGACACGAAATATATTAATTTTATTATCTAGGATCTCACCTTCTCATGGTGAAAAAACTTATGTTCTATCATTAGGATTTGAGTTTCTTGAAGAAAACTTACTTGAATCCAAGTTTGAGTAGGTAGAGTACAAACATGCAGGTTTGAAACTCCACAGTTATGACCCTGCACAGAGTCAAATAATGCTGTATGCAAGATTGCTTACTTGCATCTTAATTCCATCAGATCTTCTTTAACAGGATACATTATTTTTCCACATGTGAGCAACACAGTTAAAAAAAACCAACACCTGTGATGCAAATTTATGACTACTCACTTAAATCTTAGAGTAAAAGGAGGAACACTTTCCTTGCAAACATATTAGATGAAACGTCACAGAGAGTTTATCTCTTGATATTGAAAGAAGGTATAATCATGGAGGCTTAGCTTGAGTTTTCTGAACCCTCATTCACACAAATGACATGTCAATCCATTTTAACAGTATTTACTACTTAGACTAACTCAAAAGGGAGGAAGAAATTCAGAACAGTAGTAGAAATCCTTCACTAAGTATAAAATCCCTTTAGCTAGCCTGTGTAATCTCAGAATTAACTTTCCTCGTTAAAACACACCACCACCAAAAATATATATTAAATACTGACCATCACCTCCCTCGCTCAAGATTGAGTATCTGAGTTAGCAATAGCAAAAAAGCAATGTTAGTTCTGAGACAGATCAACAAATTTATGAACATTAAAAAAGAAAAGCAGAAAAAAAGCTCTTATAGAGCTTACATAATTCAGCTTACTCCTCTATCACCCAAGTGAGCTGTTTTTTTTAACTAGTAAGACCACTATTTCTTGAGGGCAACAAAAACAAACAACTCTGTTGTTTGGTTGGTTTTTTTATTTTGAATTGGTAGATTATCCACAATAGTGTTAAAATCCTGGTTCAACAATGTACATAAAAATTACAATGTAGCCTTAGCAAAAACGTACAGAAAACCTAGCAAAACTGCAAGCTCATGCAATGATCAGCACATGAATAAAAATGTTCTGAGTAATTTTACCTTCTAAAATGATAGCTAGCTGCTCGGCTGCAGACTTTCGTAAAACTAGGTCAGCAGCATCAGAAGTCAAGAGGTCATACAGCTTTTTAACAGTTTCTGCCTAAAAGTAAAACTGTATTAGATTTACATCCAGTACACTATTATGAAACAAGGTAGCAGCCAAATTTCCTAACAGAAAGTAGAAAATAAAAAGGTCTGGATTCCTTATTAGAATGTATTTTATTAGATTCCACATATCTAATAAGAAAGGATTAGGTTATAATCTTTTTGCAACAAATCTCTAATAAGACTTGTGCAATATAACAAGACATTAGTTTCCAGTGCACGACAGAAGTAGATTTCTAACAAGTAATGCCTAATTTATGCAGGACCACAGAAAGCTCAAAACTACACAGAAATGCTAGGATATGCTTCTAAGTCTGTGAAGAGGACCAAGTTGGTAATGGTAATAGGGTTAGAGAAATTTGTACAGATACGTAGGATTATTTAAATTTCAGGTCTTAACTTTTTGAAGGATGTAGAGTAAGAGTATAAATCAAGTTTACAGTGAGTGGTCAGAATAATTTTTTTTAGATGGCAAGCATCCTAGCATTTGTTTAATATATTGTTGTTAATGTGAAAGAGTTGAGGGTAAAGGAAGACAAAAGAATGGAGGGGAGATATTAAAAAACCCAAGACAGATACAAGTTTTCCCATAGGTCAAATTCTTGTGACTTTTTTCCCCAGTTAGCAAAAGCAGCAATATTAAGAAAACACAGACAGAAATTTGTAATCTGTTTTAGAGTATTTAATTTAAAAAATTATTTGTGCCTGTCCCAGTAAAAATTGATTCTGTGGGGGGAAAAAAAGCTCTGTGAGAAAATTCAGACTCTATCCATACACAATGAAATTATTGTAAACGGAGCAGGTCTGTTCTCTTTGTACTCAAGTTAAGTCTTGCTGTTAACTTACCTGCAGATGGGAAAAAAAAGAAAAAAGAAGGAATTCTTTTCTTATTGTTGCATACGGTAGCATAAAACCCACTGTTTAAGTTCACGTGGAAAGAACAGGTTTCTCTTTATGAAGCAAGTCCATTTGTATGAAATACTGTAGTCGTCAAAAAGTGATAACTTCCGTGACTGGGCAGGTAGAAAAGCTGATCAATTACGCAATATTCAGACAGAATTTACTCACCTTAAATATCGACTCCATTTTATCATCCAATTTTAGCTCAATAGCTCTTTCTAGAATAAATAAGTTTGAAATGCTGGAAAGAACACTACCATGCAGATGCGGCCGTTTCAGGTTTGCCCCTTCTTCATTCAAAAGATGGAACATTAAATGTTTAAGTGCTATGGAACGAACCCTACAAGAGTAAACAGTTAAAATAAATACATGAAGTCCTCACACTGGAAAACTTAAAAATTAGTTTATAAAATTAATACAGTGTGGGGAAGGAAGTACTACCTTGACTCAATATTGATTAATCTACCTTCCAAATCAACCCACTGCATAATAACGTTTTTTTTTTTTCAAAAGCAGACGTTGTTTTTCATCAATATTAGAAAATGTGCCAAAATGCTACACGGCATTACTTACAACTGTTTTTTTGAGAAGAGAAGACGCAGAGCAGCCTGTAGTCTAGTAGTTCTAGGGAGAATACCCTCTCCTATGTCAGAGGTTGTTTCACTCAAAGTGAGGATACAGTTACCTAGAGTATCTTTTGTGTCAGCATAACCCTAAAACAAGCAAACATCAAACAAAAATTTTTAAAAAATTAAAAAAAATCTGTTTACTAACTTAGCAAATTAGATAAGGTAATTGCCCTTTTAGGGACTAAGGGAGGGTGGGTAAAGAGTAGCACCCTCCCAAAAAAAGCAGTAACTTTTAAGAAAACATTCCATTTCTGCAGATCAATATTCTTCTTTAAAAACAATTGTAAAAATTAATAAGTGATCCTGTATACAAATCAAAATAAAGATTTTTACATGCCTCAGAAGTACTTTGACCTGAAGCTTTACCCTTCAATCTGTTAACATGATGCTGCTCTGTAATGCCACTTTGTATTTCAACAAATAAAATTCAGTACCTCCACAAAAATTACTTCAAAACATTAAACCCTACCTATTTTCAGATATTTAGTCAAAGCATTTTTACATATAGCCAGTACAAATTTGCAAAGTTTGATACTGCAAGCATTAAAACACTGGAGTAAAATACAATGCATTTTCTGTGCATTGGGTAAATATAGGCCTCTGGTATCCTCTGCTCAAGTATCTACTGTATGTAGCCACTAGAGGCTATAGAAGAAAATTATAGTCACAAAAATGAGAACAGGAATAAGTTCTCTTACATGTTTAGCCTACATCTTATATTAAACCTATTTAATCTTGAATATCAATGGAAGATACGTATGTGAGTAACACAGAAAAGCTGACATTACTAGGCAAGAAAGCTCTGAAGTAACCTTTCTCCTACCAATTTCAAGTTTCAAGTTTATTTCTGCTACACATGTTTCTGTCTGAGCTTTCTATTTCATGGCCCAACTTATTTGCAACTTATCCTCATTTTTGCCTTGATTTTTGTGCAGTTTGTGTAAGGGCTTAAGTTACAAACACAGTTTTTTCAATGAATAAGGTAAAATTATCAAGAGTGATATTTTTGGGAAAAAAAAAAGATAAAAAGTGTACTTGGATGTACTAACTAAGTTAAAAGATGGAAAAAAGGCAAAAAAACCAGGCATCAAGAAAACCAGATGTCAGGTGAAATAAAGTATCTATTCAGGAAAACTATAGGGAGATCATAAAAGGGAAACTTCTAGCATTAGAGGAAAAATACAATAAGGAATTTGGATAGAGCAACTAGGCTGAAAATCAGACTGAGAAAGGCAAAAGTTCCCATTAGATCAAGCCAAGAGTAAAGATAATGTAAAGAAAGTTTGCCCACTGTTACAGATCTGAAGACTAAGGTCTAAAGATAATAGTGGCTGTTGATACTTCTATAATATTGGAAACAAATCAACCAAAAAACAAACATCAAAACATATAGAAAATACAGCTTATACTTATTGCTATTTATTGAGCACATATTTGATCAGAAAACTATATAATCCTCACAGAGGAGTTACAATTTTCAAATTTAAGATATGTTTTAGTAATGTTTTAATCTATGCTTGCATGGTCCACTTATGTCTTCAAACCATTTAAGCCAATACTTATGCATTTCTACTACAACATTTCAAAGTTTCACATTCTAGTAATACCAGCTTAAAATTCATCTACAAATTCAAAGTAGTCACTTTGACTGGCATTAGGACCTCTATATAACATTTCTCCATTTGACATCCAACAAACAAGCCTGTAGGTACGTTACTGTTAATCTATTTTCCATCTGCTACTTAGGTGAATATTCTGTTTGTTGTTTAACATGACAGTGTTGCTGTTTACATGATTATATACATCAAATTCAGTTTAAAGTACTTAGAAGTACCTGTAAAACAGGAATGATGGGACATAGGGCCTCAATAAACTTGTTCCAAGTCAATACTGACATTATCAATCGTCCCTGCAATAGATGCATCAGAATGGCCTTGGCTGTAGAGTTCACCTGTTCAATAACAAATAAAAAAGAAACTAATGCAACTGCCAATCTGTTTAGATAAGTTTGCTAATGCAGTTAATTAGAAATGTTATACAAAAACATCTCAAAGAAAAAGGATCTACAGATAAAATACTGTCACTGCAGAATGCTACTTTTAAATTGTCAATCACACTAAAAATTGAATTTTTCGAAAAGCCTCTCAAAAAAACCACATAAATAGTTATGCCTAAATAGTACCCAATCATTTGCACCTTAAAACTCTGGTTTGTCTCTTCTGAAATAAAATAAATCATTACCTATATACCTATTGGTCTATCTTGCAGGTAAAACAAACTGTTTCTTTTCTTTCCTGACCTTACATTTCTGGGGCATTTTGTTCCCAGTATTTGTGATATGTTTCTGAAGACACAGGAAGAAAAGAGACTTAAAGCCTGTTACATGGCCATTTCACTTTCTTGAGGCAAACAGTCTATGGTTACCAAATATTTCAAATTGTACATTAATTCATCTGAATTCTTTATCAAAATGGAAAAAAACGTATACGATACAGCAATTATACAGTATGAACGTATGCTGTATACAATATGTAATGTATACCATATGCAACATAAAAGTATTAACAGCCTAATATTATTACTAAAATGGGAACAGGGAGGAAAAAAACAAACCAGCAGCTTGTCAGAATTCACACTTCCTTACATAGTGTAAAAACTTGCATTTTATGCTACAGCTAAAAACTCTATCACCCCAGGCCACAAGAACAGCCTTTAATAATATTGTCATATGGCAAATCTTAAACACAAACAAGATTCTTCTCAATTTCTTATCATTATCACTAAAAATTAAAATGAAATGCTTTATGAAAACATTAGTAGCAGATATACATCTGAGAAGTAAAAAAAAAAATATACTTGGTTATGATCTTCATTATGTGCTTTGTCAGAAAAATAACAAGAATGCATTACAAGGTACAGAGAACAAAATGAGATCATTTTGTAAACATGCATTCTCTGTCTCAACAATCTTTTAAAATTCAGTATCAATTAAAGGCTATTTGTTATGCTTGATCAATCACTATAAGAGAAAACTGGCAGTCTTTAATAAGGCGTCCAAGGGAGCAGTCAACCAAAAGAAACACTTCCCTTGGAAAAGATAAATTACATCCAAAGCACAAATACATTGTACATTACCAAAGATATTTTACTTCTCCTTTTAAAATGTTAACATCTAAAAAAAATCACTTCTAAATGGAACTGTGTTGAAACAGTACTGTGTTGAAAAAACAAACAAACAAACTTGTTTCAGGAGACAAACTAAAAGAAGAAAATAAAAATTTGTTAAGCCATGTTCTTTGCCCTCTGACCATAGTGACTTCATAGATTAGCTATAAAGTAGTTACAAATAATCTAAGTATTTTTTTCCCCCTCTCAGAACTCTCTACTTAGCTTTATATGTAAGCTAGGAAATGGTGGATATATGTTAAGCATTCATACATATAAACAAACCCAACAGAGGTTGTGGAGGTCCTATTCTATAATACTGCAAAACACTTCTATAATACTCAGGTAATTAAATTTAATGTATCTACGTGTTTGTAGTGATGAAATATATTTTTATAGCAAAGACATTGCAGATTTAAAATCTTTTTGCTCCTCAATCCATGCACGCATTTCAGAGACCATCGCACCTCTACAAAGACTTGAGACTTCATGTTTACCAAGTGTAAAGCATCATACATACTATTTCATCATATGCACATTTTATTAGGGCTGAATATATAACAGAAGATCAAAAAGCATAGCTTATTTCATTTTTCATTAGTCTTTATTACATTTAATAGCATCCTATGCATAGAACATTACTTTGTATCTGATTTACTACAACTTCACTGTTTGCATAGCTTTTCTACATACAAGAAACCGTAGGTAGTCAAAACTTCAGGTAAGCCTCAGACTGTCATGAAGACTATCAACACCTACTTTGCGCACACACCAACTTATAAATACAGCTACTAAACACAGTACCTCATTCTTATCTTCCTGAAGGCCAAACATGCAGATTTCATACAAAACTTTTGGATGAAGAAGAAAATGTACTCCGTGGCAGTTTGAAGACACAGACTTAGCAATATTATGAATACCTAAACAGTCCTTCAGTAAAAATAAAGTTGGTTAGTTTAAAGATTCAAGATAAACTCCACTACTACATCTTGTTTTATAAACTGCCTGAAGTTGTCATCCAGTGCTGCGTGGAAGACTACAGTTCTGAAGGCTAAACATTACAGCCTTGGAAGAAATACCATCTTTATAAATCACTGTTTGAACATTCCTGTTGCTACACAGGACTAAGGAATACAAAATAATTTTGTTTTTATTTTAAATAAAAGTGAAAATGAGTTAGACAAACTTTATATGTTGTTCAGTATTACATTAAAGTAAACACAAAACAGGCATGTAAAAATCTCACTAAAAAATTAAGGTAGTAACAAAACATCCATATAAAACAAAATAAAAAACAAAACAACTCCCCATAAAACAACAATAAGAAATTAAGTTTTTAAAGCAATAAGTACATAAAAATGTTCTTAAACACAATCCAAGCTTTTTATACATGGGGAAAAAAAAGGTAATTTTTCTTTCACCTTTTTTTGTAAGATCTAAGCAAGTAAAGCATATTCTAAGTAAAAACGTGTAACCTGAAAGTGTCAGTATTTTATTAACATGTTATTGTTTTATTTTTTCCTCAGCAAACATCCTTGCAAAAAGCAGAAAGTCAACTCAAAATGGTTTTTGCTCAGATACAAAGAAGAACCTGAACAGGACCATTATTGCTACCTCTAGGTATCCTGTCATTCTGAAGTGCAGTACCCAAAGTATAACCTAATCAAGTCTATTTTATATGAAAAATATAACTGTAAACTGCAAGCCCAGTCCTATATAAATTTCACAGCATATAACATGGTAAACAGAATTTGCATTAAAATGCTTTTAATGAGGAAATCATATAATAGGCATTATTTAGCACAACACTAAGAGCGCCAAGTAAGCATTAGTTCTAACCTTAACCACTTCCAAACAGCAGCGATAGGTTTCAGATTTTACATTCATCAAAGGATGGGACAAGAGACAGAGAAGCACCTTCTGACCCTCAGCCTGGAGCAATGAGTTAGTGTCAGCAGACTTCCAACTAAATATGACAAATAAAATATTTTAACTATTATTTATTTAACAGTACCTAAAGATGTCTACAAAAATTTTCCTATTAAATTTCAGGATAAACTCTGAAAAGTACTTTCTGAAAATGCATACATCCTGAAAAATTACTTGACAAACAAAAGTTCAGAGATCACAATACATTTGCCAGAATCATAATATCAATCTTCACATTTCTATTTTTTTTTATACATGAAGATAATAGTTTTTGTAAATTCTCTCATCAAAATTAGAAGCCTGAAAAATTTTTATGTTCATCTGAAAACGTAAGATTTTGTTGAGCTTCATAAGGCTCCTTACATCATGGTCTATGATTATATATATACACCAAAAAAAATTAAAAATCTATGCTTTCAAAATTTTTCCCTGTAAAGATAAAGTCCATATCACTATCACAAAGTAAACTGATGTTTAAAAACCGAATCAAACAAGAATTAATTCTAAAAGCTTTAGAACACTGAGAAGTGTTTTGACATTTTATAATTTTAAAAAAACACTTGTTAGAGAGCTCTTAAATGTAGTTTCCTTTGAAAAACATCCCTAAAGTCAAATTCTGAATCAATATAAAATTAAGATTTTGTATTTCTAATTAAGTGGTCAATACAGAACTTTTCCAGGTACTAGAGGATACCTTAAATTCTCTAGAGCCATGGAAAATCTAAAAAGCAATAAAAACATACTATTCCATAAATTAGATACCATATTGCAATATACATATGCAATATCTACAATAAAATAAGTCCTGGATTTCTTGGAACGGATACACTTGGAACAAAGGAATCTGAAACAAGTTTGAAAGATAGGTCAAAATGTTTTAAAACTCTTTCTTTGTAAATCACATAGTAACTTTATACAAAAAATCATAAAAGCTTATACACAGAAAAAAATTTTAGGAAAAACAAACAAACCAAACAACCTTTCAATGGCTAAAAGAAAACAATTGTTCAAATACAGGGAATAAACAAGTTGAGCTTCTACTTGAGAAAGTTTATCCATTAAAAAAATATTATATTTTCTCATGTAAGAGCTTTAAATAGTAATGTACTCACATATTTGAGCATATCTGAATGCATTCCTGAATCAAGGGAAAGTGTTGATGGTAGGGTAGACTACTCAAGGCTTGATCTGCCAATTCTACTAATTCAGAAAGATTCTTGTCCCCCTGAGAAGTAAAATGAAAAGAAAGAAACTATCAGAATTAGTAATATTAAAAAACATACCATATTATTTCATAATCTTTCAGATTTATCATCATTTAACACATCTACTAATTATGGTTTGGTTCAACCTTTCACAGAGAATTTTATAATTAACCTGATTAACAAATTCAACAGATTTCCAACAACTTTAGAACCTACTCCTGGGAGCTGAAAACTTTTCAGCTGTTGAATCCAAATAAAATTCTGTGAAACTGAACGGGATTAACGCATGTCTAGTATTTCACAACATGAACACTATAACTCTATTCAGAACACTTTCTAAAACACTCAAGAATAGATTCAACCTTGAGTATTTTATGGTTTTAATCAAAATTATTTTTTAAATCAGTATGCATTTTATGTGAGAAGAGTATAATGAAAGATTTAACTATTAAACCATTAATAACTCACTATTAAAATTAAAGAGCAAGTTGATTTTTGCAAACAACATAAGTAGCATCAGTGAAAAGAAATATAAATTAACTACATCTTGCATGGTACAGAAGACTTAAGGATTTTCTTCAGCTATGCTAGACTATGGTTTTTACCACAGAGAAAGATAAGCAGAGGAAAGAAATTTGTGTACAGGAAATATTTTAATAATATAATTCCATACCTTCTTACGAGCTTCAGTCATAAAGCTACAAGTGCATTCAATTGAATATGCAGCATCTGAAGCTTGCTTATAAATACTGTAGTCCTCAGTACTCATCTGCTCCAGATAAGCTGCAATGGATTCGTGAACGCTTGGGTATTCCAAAGAGAAGGGCATATCCAGAGAGAGAATAAATAAAGCTTTCAGCAAACTCTTTTGTAAAACTTTACTTGCCTTTGAAAAAAGAAAACAACTGTGAGAATAACTGCCAGAAAACACAGTAAAACCAACACCATTTGCAGTCATTCAACAGGCACAATCACTATTGCTTCTACTTAAAAATGAGAGACAGACATATCAAATGAGTTCTCTATGAAGATTGATTTTTTTTTTAATTAAAAAGTGAGAGTTCATTAGATGTCAGTCCTAATGTCAGACCTGCAACAAAAGTTGTGTATAATCCAGCCACAGCACTACCAACCATACACGACTGGCCGGAGTCAATTTACTGTCTAACCACTAGATGGCAGACAATACACAGACCACAATTATTACTGTATTAAATAAAAAATTGTCTGCAAATTCACATAGTAATATCACATACTAAGAACCGAGATTTCTGTTGGTGGTGGTTTGGTATTTTTACTTCAAGTGTGCAGTATTCCTTCAACTAAAATTTTGACTTCCAATACAGTAACTTTTTCCAGATCATGTCATATAAAATTTTAATTCTGTGTACTAGGTACATAAGAACATAAAGACAAAAATTATAAAAATCATTAGATCAGTTTGCCTAAATTTATTTGCAGGTACAAGTGACTGCTTATATTAATAGTAAAAGACAATATTTGTGACAAAAAGTCTGTAACTGAAAATCAATCTGCTACTCAGAATGAAGAATGTCTAAGAAAGAGCTACGCTGCAATAAAAACTGTTCCAAAAAATGTAAACTTATACAGGTTTAAACATCTTCTAACTCTTTCCATCCCACAAAAACTTCCAAAGACCAGACTCCTCCCCATCTGAAAAAACAAACAAAAAACAAACAAACAAAAAACCACCAACAAAACAAAACAAAACCCACGGGGAAAAAAAACCTCAAAGGCTACAACAGAAAGTATCTTAAAGAGCACTGGAAGCAAAGAATTAAAACCACTATTAGGTATGAATCATAAATGCTTACTATGTTCCATCATTTTAAGAGTCATGATTTTAAACACCATGTAGTTCGAATCTTAAGTCTTTCTTGCACACATACTATAAACGGGCAGGGGGCAGCATAGCTATGCAAACCATGTATCATACCAGACAAAAACACTATAGGAGGAAAAATAATATTGAATTTCAAAAACTCATTAAAAAACTATATTAAAAATATTTTTGAAGGCTTGAAATCTGCAGAAGATTCTGCAGAATGCACTGATAACTGTAGAAGGTACAAAGTTGCCTTCTGTGATCATAAATCAGCCAATGTAAATCAGATTAATTTCCCTGTCTAGTGGCTATTTTCACAGCATTAATCACTGAGGAAGGCCTCTTAAAATGCAAAACCAAATCACTTAAATTAGTGGTGGCATACCTTTTCTACAGGGAGAAGTATTTGCAGTAATCTAACAGTGAAGAGCGAAATGCTAATAAATGCCATTCTGTGATGCACCAAAATCACCTTAGGCTGCTCTGCACTTATATTGGTTTTGTGATATAATATAGTTTCTCCAAGCAAACCCAAGATCAGAAGCAACTTGTCTTTCTGAAAACAAAATCAGAAATACAATCATTAGAAATAATTGAAACATTACTGCATCTTTACAATGCTTATAAAGCACCCATAGCATTATTAACACAATTTTACCAAATAATTTAAAAATGCAGAAGTGGTACAAAATACAGGAGCTGGCGTGAACCTGCTAATAAAGATTTACCTTATTTTATTTTTTTTTTAAGTAAACCCAACCCACAATCCAAACTTTGAGAACATCAAATGTCTTTTCAATCTATTCATGCTCAAAGAAAACAGCAGCACGTTTCTCAGACTATGTTAAAAGACTACTCAAGAATTACTGTCATTTGGATAACTCCTGCTCATTGCCACTGGAGAAAACAAAATTAGTTTCTAGAATTTTGGTCACCTGAAAAAGCCAGGTTTGTAATTAAAGACACTAGAACAAAGGTAGAATTTCAGGTGCCAGTTTTGGAATGCCAAATAACTATTAAGAAGGCAATAGCACATGTGACATTATTAATTCCAGAAATGGATAATCACTGTTAAGCAATTAAGCACTATTTATCTGACTCAACATAGTTGAAGAAACTGACAAGAAGCAATTGACTAAATCAAATCAGTCTTTTAAGGTAATTCTCAACACATGCTATTACACAGCAAGATGAAAAGGAGTTCAAAAAAGCAAGTTTTGCTCTGTCATGCTATAGTTTGCAGAGGCAGGAAGAGCCTCTGTTTCAAGACCATGCAGTCTCAAATCAACAGTAGATTCAAAAAGTTTATTCTTCCCTGAGACAGGGATGACTGTCTCAGAGCTAGTGATGCAAAAAAACTGAGAGGCTACCACAATCTGCAGTATCGAACTTTTTGATGTGGCAGAATCAAACTGCACTTAAGAGCAAAACTTGAAAAGAGTAAAACCTTTACTTGGGAGGAGGAAGCATAAAAACATCAGTAAAACACATAGTTACAAACTTTAATATTTTTGAACGGGATTCCCAAAATACATATTTTTCTCAAAGATATTCCAGAGCAGAGTTTTTAAACTGTATAAACAAAGAAACATAAAGCAATAAAGTTATGCAAGAAATGCTTTCAAGTTTCACAGAAAGGAGACACATGACCTTCTTCCCTTGGACCTAATCCAAAACACATAGGAAGCATGATCACTAAGCACTGAAGTCCAGCAGCATTAAAAACAGTCTACTTCTGATAAAAGACACACTATTTCATACAGTACTAAATAATATATAGGTAAGTTTATCGTCTATTTCCTAAAATTGTCCATTCTGTTACTTTTATTTACTCAAACACTGAGAAAGATGAGGAGCTGTTCTTTCTCCCCTGCCTTACAATTGCTTTATCAAAATCAGCTTTATTGAATTGTACTGCACAGTCCAGCTCTGCATGACAAATTGATACAGATTCATAAACTTTCAATGCGAGGTGAATTTTATATCTGAAAAGTATTTTACTAACAAATTTCAAAGTTCTACCAATGGAATAAAGTTTTATCAGCAAAGCTTTTTTTTTTCTTTCATTCTTAAAAGTCAAGATAATTGTATACAATTGCCCATCTTATTTGCAGAGTTTTGGTTGTTAGTAGCCTGGAAAAAAACATTATTCTACTAAAAACAATCAGTGTGAAGTCCCTGAAATTATGCTCACAGTTTCTACTGTACTTTGACAGATTTCTATGCAGCGGAATATACTGACTCAGGCCACACAGCAACTATACATGAGATTATATTAAGCTTCTTGGACTAAATGTTCTGCAAGGAATCTTCTCTACTGACTTGAAATCGATAATTATAACAGATGTTAACATAACTGTATAATAAATTCAAAGAAGAAAGTTCTCATTCACTACTAGGTCCTATAAATAAATATAATCATTTCTAAAACAAAGAATAGAGAAGCCTAAAGTAATATTTTTATTAATAATTACAGCAATATCATTGTTTTATATTCAGTGGTATTTTCAGGAATTCTAACTAGTCATGCACATTTAAGACTACACTCAACTCAAGTTTTTAGACAAGTTTCAGTCTGCAGCTCTGGTATAGTTTGTTACATGGATAATTCATGCTGGCTTAAGTTTCAGCTCTCCATTGTCTTCAAAAAAGCAAGTTGCCCACTGTCATTTTATCTGACATACACTAACTTGATATTTCATTTACATAACAACTTTCAACTCTGCTCAAGTATGTATTTCCAGTAATTTAAATTGGTCAACAGTACCGTAACGCTTTGAGTATCTCCTACGCTAAAAAACCTCCTTTCATTCCCAGCCAAGCAACAGAGGTAAGGATAGCAGAAACTTGTGCAGGGATCTACAGATTCTCCATTGGAAATGGACACCATGTATCTTATAATTCCAGTCTTGGATCTAAACAGTTATTTCCATAATTTTAAACAGTTAATAAAGGAATAAAGAAAGTGAAAGTTGTCATTTACACCAAGTTGGTCTCCAACAATTGTAGTGAGTACTTTTTCCTTAGATCCCCTTCCCTAGACGTTTTTCTTTCAATGGCTGCTTAACAGCCTTTCGCTACAAGACAAAATTCACTACTTATTTTCAAGGTGAAACTTCAAGTATCATCTCGTAAAATAATTTACACTTAAAATAAAAAGTATGTGCCAGTGATAGAACTAGTAATAAACTATAAGATTTTCAAAAGGGTAGCTCAGCAGGAGACTAGATATGTATATGAATCACTGCAGAAAGTGTCAGAGGTTTATAAAAGCAGGCTACTAAATATGGCCAATCAAAGCCTAAAGAATCTTACCAATTCCAATGCAAAAAGGCTATCATCTTCCCAAACATTTTCAGAAATAGCATCATCAATAAGGAACATGTCTTCGACAAGCAATTCAAGAACTTCCATCGTCACTCTCCTACTGCCTAGGAACACAAATGAGAAGATAAATTCAGTATAGACAAAATATTATATTGCTATATTCAGGGAACACCATCTTGAACAAGGGATTATTCCAAATCTGAAATTCTGGTATTTTGCTATACACTTCTACTAAACTAATGCTAACTACCCTCTATCACCAATAGCTCTGAATCGCAACCATGTACCTAGAAAAAGACTGCATTGCCTTAAATTATATAGTACTTTATTACAGCTGTAAATCTGACTACTAGACTTCTTCGAAGTTCAGAATAAAGTCACTTACTTCTCCCACCCAGACAACTAGGTTACAGATCTTCCATATATATTACCGATTCCTGTTAATCTGCATTTTTGGTATAGTAGGAGTAGCTTTTTTCCCAGATTATTTTGTTCAAAATCTTCTTTTAAAAAGCAAGGAGATGAATACCCACTTTATCCATTTGTACTCGCCTCCATAACAATTTCCCCCCCTTGTTTTTAGGCTTATATTTATTCATTTTCATTGCTCCTTCTGACTTAGTATCTCCTAATAACAAGGCTAATCTGGCCTATTAGTGACTTTTATACTTTGTACAGTTTTATGCTTGAACACGGAGACATAAAGAAACCTGGCCCAAGCTTAAGCATTTACAGCCTACTTTTACTACAAATATAAACCTCCCCCTCATGTCCCCTGATAATGAGACAATAGAGGAGAAGCAGTCAAAAGCTAGAAGGTTTCATGAATTACAAGGAAGAATACCTGGAGCCAGACCAAATATTTTCAACCTCATACAACAGAGGATGCCAAAACTGTCTGGCATCCTAGCGAAGCATACAGTGAAAGTTTCCCTCAAATACTCAATTTAGTGCAACTGTTGGCTTAGTTACTTGTTGATGGTATGTTTCTATTTAAAGTTATGGATGGAGTTCACACATTACCACTGAATTTCCAATTCATTTTTTAACTATCATAAAAATATTGCATCCTTCAAAATATGTTTAAAAAAAGCGCAAGCTCTACTGCTTGTTAAGATTGAACATTAATTTCTTTGTCACTTTTTCTATCTTTTGTAGTTTTTATACATTGTAGGAGCCTTGTTGATATACTTGAGGAAAAAATCTATATGCGTGTGTGACTATATATGTAGTGACAATGATCACAGCTCATGCAATTTACAGCTTAAGTGACCTGCTCTGAGTGAGCATATGGCAGAGAATGGCATAGGGCCTTTTTGAAAACTTGCTTTTTCCTATCACACAGAACTGCTGTTTTCTGTTTATTTTCGGCAAAACATTGCCAATTTGAAGAGTAGATGCCTGAACTCCAAAAAGCACTTTTTTTCTCTTCACAGTTATTTTGCAAATTCTTAATAAAATCTCTATGCTTAAAACATTTGAAAGGTGACTTAATAAATTTCTTCACTGTAATGCAAGAGTTAAATAATGGTGATTTTGAGTTATAGTTTTAGAAATATTTTAAACTTCATAACTAAATATAACATCTGCAACAACACTTTGCTGTAGCTGTCATGATCTACAGACATGCAAGTTCATTCCACCATACTCTTACATGAATATATCAACACCTGTATGACTATATCCCAACAGCTGTAGCAATTAGTATATGCTAAGAGTTCATTATTACTAAACACACAGAAAGACAGATATAATTAATTACTGTAAAACAAATTTTGTGTTCAAATTTAAATAACTATCTTTAAGACAATCAGTATTAACACTGAGCTTCAGACAAGTATGGTAGCTTAAAACTGATCATAAAAAAACCTCCAACAAACAAAAACCCTACCACCCACACCACTACCAATTTCTGGAATTACTTCACTCACAAGACAGGTCAGAACAAAGGAAGAAAAATTCCAATGTACATCTCCACAAGGAACAGAATTTGAACTTAACTAAAACATATGTTACATTGTAAAATAAAAGCAAGCAAATTTTAGAGTAAGTTTGCTGTTTTCCTTTACTCAGTAATTTAAACAGATAGAAGAAAATCTACATTATAGCCTATCTACCACATAAGATGATAATAATGTAAGTAAAAATGTCTGATGATTTCACAGATCAACTTCATCTAAAAATGAAACTATTTTAGTTTTATTATAAGATGCAAAGAACGAATCCTGAAAGATGGGAAAAAAAAGTCACTATATTTTAACATCGCAGATTTCAAGTGATATGTGCCAGAAACAGAAAACATAGAAAATACATTTTCTACAGTTTTATATTATAAATAAAAGAGAAGATGCTAGAATTCATGAATGTGCTAGTGAAGAATTAATATTTAAATATTACTATTCTGAAAGGGTGAAATAAAACTTTTATTCATTTTAGTTTAGTTTACTACCAAAAAAATTAGGATTTAATAATTTTCCTGTGGACACAAATTAATGTTGATGTTACCATTAAATACACAAGCAAATTAGTATTTTGTGACAGAACAGAAAATCATAAAAAGTTATAAACTATCATGAAAATAACAGTAAATCAAAATTTCATACATATTTCACACAATTTTTACAAGTTAAAGCTTCTTCCCAGCTCAGGAAATGTTGACAGGTATATTAAAAACCCAACTTTTAGTATTCTAGTCATACATGAATACACACTTCTAGCTCCTACATTTGAAAACCTTACCACGTTTACCAATACCTGTTTTGAATTACATTGTTTTATAGCTAAATACTATTTTAGACAACCTGAGAGCAAAAAGACTCCTTCAAAAAGGCTTTGCAGTTTAGAACCTTTTTAAGTTATATGAAGTAATAATAGTCTAATTGCTTCTAAAAACATAATTATAATTTGTTACTGCATTCATGAGAAAATAAACAAAAATTCTGGAAGAAGATTTTATTTTAATGTCTAGAACAAGAGGGAAATTCTATGCTCAAATTGATCAGAACACATTTTTGTTAAATGTGCTTATTTTTTCAATTTCTTGAATGACATTTTTCCACCATACACTCACTTCTTCCTACTGCTGCTTCCCACCATGAGTAAAAAGCGCTTGAAACTTCCTCAGCAATTCTGGAAATCAACCAGAAGATTCACACTTTATGACCAGAACAAAGTCCCTAGAAATGAACTATTATAACTAGCTACAGTATATGAGTACTCATCCGTACCTTATTTATTTGAGGTACTCACCTCATAATATCAACTTCTTAAGAGGTTTGCAGTAAACATGTGAAGGATACACAAGTGAAATACTTAATTCAAAACTTTCTCACCTGTTCTTAGAAGAGGTATTGCATTTTCCAAGATGGAAACACAGAACTGAGGAAGGCTAAGCTGCTTCATCTGTAATTCCAAAGTATCCTCATTTTCAGTATCTGGTAGGTCGATATGTCCTACACCAAGTGGGGAATGCAGAGATATTCTGGAGTTTGCATTTGCTTGAGTACTGTTACCACTTCAAACAACAAACAAAAAAAACCAAAATAAACAAAAAACAGAGGCATAGTTAACTCTTGCAAAGAGAAAACCCATATATGCATAGACATCTAAAAAATCATGAAGAATTTTAATGCCTTCCTTCCTTAATGCATATCCTTCCTTATATCCCAATATTTCTCTGCTATCCACCAGTGTTGCAGGAAGAGGGGTATTTTGTTTGGTTGTTGGTTTTTGCTTTTTTATTATCAGAACTGGTACCACCACAAGCGAATGCCTATTGTTTTGGCAGTAATCTTCAAATGCACTTAGAAATCTATACTGGAAGAAATACATATACAATGAATATGATACTGCAAGAAAAAAATCAGTTTATTTGAAATGTTATTTTTGATTAACAAAGTCTATCAGTTGCTTGAAGTAAGGCCACTTACTAAATTTTCAGTCTGAAGTATACCTACTACATTAAAACCATTCTATGTGGCTAGCCACAGGAGTCCTTAGAAGGAAAATTAAGTAAGTGTGCCCTGTGTTTAAGCCTGTTTAAGCCTGTAGGACATCTTAGTCCACTGCAAATCAGAAAATATTCCCTTGTCCAGGAAAGCCTTTAGTGCAACCAAGTATATTACAAAACATATAGTTATTATATAGATAATTATTTAAAACTATGAGCTCAATATAGAGTTCATAATTTTACTATTTTCCAACTGTTTTCAAAAATAACCGAATTCTATTGGCAGTATTATAATTAATATAACTCAGCTCTAACGTTTTTTAATGTTCTTTCTTATCCTAAACAAGATTTAGTAATCTTGAACTGCTTTAAAAACCTCTATGACTTTTACAGTTTTTTCCTGTTTGGTTCCTTTTTTATTAGTAAACAAGCTGAAGAGACCGTAGTTTCTTCACAGTCTGTGTTACGTTATATTGTCCAACTAAAAGTAAAAAAGGTCTAAAAACAGCAATTAAGAATCTAAAAGCCAACAGACTTTACAAGGTCAACAGAAGACTGTAAGCAAAATAAGGGTGTTCATTAATACACAGTGGTTCTGATTACACTTACCAGAGGGTAAGGAAGGAGAGGTATCAATCATAAAAACAATTCAGAAGAGGAAAGGTTAAGTTTCCAGGCAGAATTTGAAACAGATAAACAGACAAATTGAAGAATCTCAAGATTTAAGAACAAGGAAAAAGAAGAGTTACATAAAAAATGTAAACAATTTATATTACCAATTATGTTGAAAAAGGCAAGATTCACTAAAAGCAGCTCTTCCATATAAAAAGCAGCAATGTCAGAGAAAGACTATAGTCATTTCCCTCCATTGTATTTTCTATTCAGCATCATGTTTGTCTTTATTCTGTCTCTGTGCTAAATTATCTTTTTAAGAGATGAAATTCACAGGCAGCAAGCAGCTCTATTGCAGCACAGAGGATGCAAGAATATGAAAGTGTACCAGTCATGAACAGCTCATAATATGGCCTTATACTTCCAATAAATGACCACTCCCTGGTCTGTAGATGTCTTACTAAAACATAGCCAGGCCATCCCAGCCTCTTCACAGAATCACAGAATCACAGAAC